TCAACAAAAACCCACACGCAAAAACAACAACAACAACCCAGCGCACGCAAGATGGGTGAGGTGTGTGTTTAGGGCTGGGTGCGTTGTGTCACAACTCGCGTGAGAGGCTGTGAGGAACTCGAAGCACGGCATCCTCTTGCGACAGGATGCCCCCAAGATGGCTGAACATCTTCCTCCACAGGCGTTGAGAACGGCGGGACGGCGTTTCGGCGGGAACCACGTCCCGACCGGCCGCCACGATGGCGGTCGCGCGTGCACGATGCGCACAATTTTCCCGGCCCGGCACCCGCATTAGCGGCGGCGGCGGCATTCTTTCTCCTCCAGCTCCGGCGCTCTCCCTTTCGACGGCGGCGAAGCAGCAGCGTGACGTGCGTCCCGCTGCCCCGCCTGCAGCGCCGCGGGAGGTGCGGCTCCTTCGTCGGCGTTTCCCGGCGGCGCGGGAACGGCAGCGGGCTGGCTTAGCCCTGTCGGCAACGCTCGTTCTGCCCGCCGGGGGAGCGGCACCCACTTGCCCCGATGCGGCAATCACGTTCACCTCGTTGTCGTCGGACGAGTCCGTCAGCACGTCCCTTCTCTTGGCCAACGTCTTCCACATGTCGGCGTGGTTCGTAGACATTCTGACACCAAATGTGGTGTTCGATTTCACTCAGACAACTTCTGTCTTTCTTCGAACACCGCTTTATTTACAACTCTCAGCATGTCCTCCACGTTTCACAGTATCCAGGTCACCACGGCTCGCTCGCCGTGCTTCACTCGACTCGCTCGCCACCTTTGTCTCTCCACTCCCCACGATTACTTCGCTTGCTCCGCACTCAGCGACTCCGCACACAGCAACTCCGCACTCAGCAACTCCGCACACAGCGTCTTCGCACACAGCGTCTCCAGCTCCGCTATCGCTATGCTCTCTCTCCACTGCTAACTACTTCTCTTCTTCAGCTCCGCTATCGCTATGCTCACTCCACTGCTGGCTATTTTCTTCAGCTCCGCTTCCCACTCCGTTTCCAAACTCCGTCTCCAAACTCTGTTTCCCACTCTGTCTCCAAACTCTCCTCCAAACTCCACGTCTTGCCTTGTCCAGCTTCCAACTCCAACTCCCCTAAGCTCTCCGCTCTTCAACCTCTCTCCAAGCTCTCCACCATTCAACCCATCTCCAAGCTCAACTCCCTTCAACTCAACTCCCCTCTGTTGAGTCCGACTCCCGCTCTTATACCCGCTCTCATTACACCCCCAATTAATTAACCCGCGTCCCAACGGCGCTCCGCGTGACCATCCGCACCTGTTTCTCGCCAGACTTCCAGACGCCTCTCCAGCCCCGGCAACAGCACCAACCAATCACAACCGTCCACGGCTACCCCAGCTTAATTGCCCCAACATAACTTGCACTGTATTTGCCTTCGCTACAGGCTTACCCAAGATAACCCATACTGTCCGTGTGATCATGTAATCACGCTGTTTCCACAACGCACCTTCGTACTGCACTACAGTAGTGTAGTGTATAATATAGTGTAGTATACTAGTATAGTGACTTCAGCTGAGTTGCAGACGTGTACTTGGAGGCAACACATTTAATTAACTCCAACACATGGGGTAACTTCCCCTTAATAGAATAACAACCTATGGTGGTGACCACGAGGCTGAATACACTAATTACAACGTGACTAGCTACTATGGACCGGGACCGCAAATCGGGTCCAAGTCCACGTGTTGGAGACTCGTTGAGCGGAGAACGTAGGACGTAGACAAAGGTTTCTTCAGGATGAACAACAACAACGCCGGTCCCTCTGGGGGACCCGGCTTTTATTCTCTGCGGCGTGGCCGGCTCCGCCCTTGGCCACGCCCACCTTCCAGAATCCTTGAAAAGGATCTGGATGCTAACCACGGGACCACCCCCAGCCCCCATCTGGGCCCCTTTGTAGACTTAACCGGTCATGTGTCCTCTCGGGTCAACCAGAGTGCCATGGCCTTTAGTAACCTCATTCCTACGGCCGGCACTCCCACACCCTGTCCTGTAGGGGCTGGCACTGCACGCCAAGCGTGGTGCCATTTAGCGCCATCAATCAGCGCTCACCGGGCCTCTCTAGGGCCGGCACTGCACAGTGACATCCCGCGATGTCGCTACACTAGTTTAGCACTAACTGGTTGTGTTGGAGAAGTAAACCCACTACAACATTTACAATTCGTTACTAGTACAGCACTAACCGGTTGTGTGTTGGAGAGTAAACCAACTACAACATTTACAATTCGTTACTAGTACAGCACTAACCGGTTGTGTGCTGGAGAGTTAAACCCACTACAACATTTACAATTCGTTACTAGTACATCACTAACAGGTTGTGTGTTGGAGAGTAAACCCACTACAACATTTACAATTCGTTACTAGTACAGCACTAACTGGTTGTGTGTTGGAGAGTAAACCCACTACAACATTTACAATTCGTTACTAGTACAGCACTAACTGGTTGTGTGTTGGAGAGTAAACCCACTACAACATTTACAATTCGTTACTAGTACAGTACTAACCGGTTGTGTTGGAGAGTAAACCCACAACAACATTTACAATTCGTTACTAGTTCAGCACTAACCGGTTGTGTTGGAGAGTAAACCCACTACAACATTTACAATTCGTTACTAGTTCAGCACTAACCGGTTGTGTTGGAGAGTAAACCCACTACAACATTTACAATTCGTTACTAGTTCAGCACTAACAGGTTGTGTAGGAGAGTAAACCCACTACAACATTTACAATTATAGTGTAGTGTATAGTAGTGTTGTGTATAGTGTAGGATACTAGTTCAGCTCTAACTGGTCGTGTGTTGGAGATATAAACCCACGACGTTTACAATTATAGTGTAGTGTATAGTGTCGTGTATAGTGTAGTGTATCTTGTAGTAAATTCTCCTGTTTGATTTGTACTAGGTGCCTCGGTGAATGTATATGCTCTGACTTTAACATAGCTATTTCTGCGACCAGTTACAAGCTAATCACCCAGCTATTTCAATGCTAAATTCTATGCTAATTCCTTTGTCAAGGGGTGCCTCTGCGGATGTGTATGCTTTAACTTAGCTATTTCAATGCTAAATTCTATGCTAATTCCTTTGTCAAGGGGTGCCTCTGCGGATGTGTATGCTTTAACTTTAACATAGCCATTTCTGTGACCAGTCACAAGCTAATCACTCAGCCATTTCAATGCTAAATTCTATGCTAATTCCTTTGTCAAGGCGCTTTGTTTCTTCTCACAATGCTTAAAGGTCGCGAGCTGAGCGTGGCTTTTTCACTCCAGCGCTGTCCTCCAGACAGTCTCGTCCCTTCACCTGATGAAGGCCGCTTGTGTTGTGGCCGAAACCTCGTGAGAATATTATTGTGTTATTTTATTTTATCAATTTATTATTTTATCCTCATTCTACGTGACTTTACCGAAAGAACCAAATAAGTTGTAGTATACTAGTTCAGCACTAACCGGTTGTGTGTTGGAGAAGTAAATCCGCTACAACATTTACAATTCGAGTAGTAACCGTGACATTTTGCCGGTTTTTACAACAACCAGCATCCTCAGGTGAAAGCCAGAGCTGTTTACTAATTGGCTGTGTCGGGGTGGTGGAGGGTTTAACTACACACATTGTATATTTACGCGATCTCACCCACTAATAATCCCCCCCTTCTACTTTGGTCATATAATGCCCAAGGGAAAGCCAATCGGAGTCAAGACGGTGGCCTAATATGTTGGGATTTTTCCGATCCACCAAATCGTCTCTTATCGATCCAGAAATCAGCCGTTCGAGATTTGTATCGTAAAAAAACATGACCGATCGTTCCAGTATTCCTTACTGGTGTAGTGACATTGAATGAGTCACTGTAGCGCGTGGCGCTGGGAGATTGGTAGACAATGGAATTATGGGTAGCAGCTCGTTCTACCAGTTGGACCCGTGGGTCAAGCCCGGACCCTTCTGGGGGGGGATCCAGAAGGGGGCGTGGCCGAGGGCGGATCCTAGCCACGCTGGGGAGAATAAAAGGCGAGCTCCGACTCCTAGTCGGGGCTGCTGCCATCGGGAATGGAACTCGTCATGCTGGTTTAGTCGCTGTCTTTACCTCTTCAAGCCGTGGGTCTGGAAGCATGTTGGCTGTCCCGAGCCAGTATGGAGTTATCCCCTATGGCTGTGACAGCCGGAATAAACACGAGGGATAACGCCTCCTCCTCCTCGTGTCTCTGAATTAGTACACTTCACTGGTACGCCCAAATGGTCCACACACGGCGCCTAATAACATTGGCGGTCATGTTATTATTCATCCTGTCATTATATCTTGAAAAAATAGCATAGGTTTGAACCTATTCTGTCTACACGCATTGTAAAGAGTAGACACGCATTGTAGACAGTAGACACGCACTGTAGACAGTAGACACGCGTTGTAGACAGTAGACGCGTTGTAGACAGTAGACACGCACTGTAGACAGTAGACACGCGTTGTAGACAGTAGACACGCACTGTAGACAGTAGACACGCACTGTAGACAGTAGACACGCATTGTAAACAGTAGACACGCACTGTAGGCAGTAGACACGCGTTGTAGACAGTAGACACGCACTGTAGACAGTAGACACGCACTGTAGACAGTAGACACGCGTTGTGGACAGTAGACACGCACTGTAGACAGTAGACACGCACTGTAGACAGTAGACACGCACTGTAGACAGTAGACACGCGTTGTGGACAGTAGACACGCACTGTAGACAGTAGACACGCGTTGTAGACAGTAGACACGCACTGTAGGCAGTAGACACGCACTGTAGACAGTAGACACGCGTTGTAGACAGTAGACACGCGTTGTAGACAGTAGACACGCGTTGTAGACAGTAGACACGCGTTGTAGACAGTAGACACGCATTGTAGACAGTAAACACGCGTTGTAGACAGTAGACACGCACTGTAGACAGTAGACACGCACTGTAGACAGTAGACACGCGTTGTAGACAGTAGACACGCACTGTAGACAGTAGACGCGCATTGCCTTTGAAACTACAGCGCCTCCTCCAATCAGCGATGGGCCGTTGCAGGTGCTGCGCCTTCAACCCGCAGCAAATAAATAAATAATCCGCGCCAAAGCGGTCGGCAGTCGCTTAGACCGGCGATTACGATTCGTTGATTTATATTCCGTAGTGCGCATAAGGGAGTCGAGGGCGAGCGATTGGACGCCGCGGCGCCACGTGACGACCCGGAGACGCGCGTCCCATTGGTTGAAAGTAGCCCGGAGGGCTGCGTGCGGACTGGGATTTGTAAACCGTCCGCCCACCCCGCCCCCAGCCGGTACACCTGGACACGTGTCACAGGTGACGAGTGGTTCGCGTGGACACGGAGACACCACATAGACAACACACAGAGACACCACAGAGACACAGAGACACCACAGATACAACACACAGACAGAGACACCACATAGACAACACATAGATAACACAGAGACACAGAGACACCACATAGACAACACACAGAGACACCACAGAGACACAGACACCACATAGACAGAGACACCATAGACACATAGACAACACACAGACAGAGACACCACAGAGACACCACACAGATAGAGACACCACACACAGAGACAACGCACAGAGACACCACAGAGACACATAGACACCACACAGAGACACCACAGAGACACAGAGACATCACATAGGCAGAGACACAGAGACACCACATAGACACATAGACACCACACAGAGACACAGAGACACCACAGACAGAGACACCACAGAGACACAGAGACACCACACAGACACCACATAGACAGAGACACAGAGACACCACAGAGACACAGAGATACCACACAGAGACAACACACAGAGACACCACACAGAGACACCACAGAGACACCACATAGACACATAGACACCACACAGAGACACAGAGACACCACACAGACAGAGACACCACATAGACAGAGACACAGACAGAGACACCACACAGAGACACCACACAGACAGAGACACCACACAGACAGAGACACAGAGACACCACATAGACACAGACACCACACAGACAGACACGGAGACACCACACAGAGACACAGAGACACCACGGAGACAGAGACACAGAGACACCACACAGAGACACCACACAGACAGAGACACAGAGACACCACACACAGACAGAGACACCACGGAGACAGAGACACAGAGACACCACACAGAGACAGAGACACCACACAGAGACAGAGACACCACAGAGACAGAGACACAGAGACACCACACAGACAGAGACACCACACAGACAGAGACACAGATACACCACACAGATAGAGACACAGAGACACCACACAGACAGAGACACAGACACAGAGACACCACACAGAGACACAGAAACACCACACAGACAGAGACACCACACAGAGACACAGAGACAGAGACACCACACAGAGACACCACACAGAGACACCACACATACAGAGACACCACACAGACAGAGACACCACACAGACAGAGACACCACACAGACAGACATAGAGACACCACACAGACAGACATAGAGACACCACAGAGACATCACAGAGACATAGACACAGAGACACTACAGAGACATCACAGAGACATAGACACAGACATAGAGACACTACAGAGACATCACAAAGACATAGACACAGACATAGAGACACTACAGAGACATCACAGAGACATAGACATAGACACAGACATAGAGACACTACAGAGACATCACAGATGCACATAGACACAGACATAGAGACACTACAGAGACATCACAGAGACATAGACACAGAGACACTACAGAGACATAGACACAGACATAGAGACACTGCACAGACATCACAGATGCACATAGACACAGAGAGACACTACAGAGACATCACAGAGACATAGACACAGACACAGAGACATCACAGAGACATAGACACAGACACAGATACACCACAGAGACACCACAGAGACATAGACACAGACACAGAGACACTACAGAGACATAGACACAGAGACACTACAGAGACATCACAGAGACATAGACACAGACACAGAGACATCACAGAGACATAGACACAGACATAGAGACACTACAGAGACACTACAGAGACATAGACACAGAGACACTACAGAGACACTACAGAGACATAGACACAGACACTACAGAGACATCACAGAGATATAGACACAGAGACAGAGACACTACAGAGACATCACAGAGACACAGACACATCACAGAGACATGGACACAGACATAGAGACACTACAGAGACACCACAGAGACATAGACACAGATATAGAGACACTACAGAGACATAGACACAGACATATAGACACTACAGAGACATCACAGAGACATGGACACAGACATAGAGACACTACAGAGACATCACAGATCGTGCTTATTTCTCACACATTAACATCAGGCAATGATATCAGCCACTGGGATGTTGGTATGTGTCTAGGGGTGTCTGGACTGTTACTCAGATTAATAACAACCTTGTCAACGTGTAACTTTGTAATGTGTTTATCTGGCGCCGACCTCGATGTGGCGGCGGCTCTGAGATCACACATTAACATGCTAATTTATCACATTAACATGCTCATTTATCACATTAACATCATGCTAATTTATCACATTAACATCAAGCCAATTTCTGACATTAACAGCATGCTAATTTCTCACATTAACATCATGCTAATTTATCACATTAACATCAAGCCAATTTCTCACGTTAACATCATGCTAATTTCTCACATTAACAGCATGCTAATTTCTCACATTAACATGCTATTTTTTTACATTAACATAATGCTAATTTCTCATATTAACATGTTAATTTCTCACGTTAACATCATGCTACCTTTTACATTAACATCATGTTAATTTCCAACATTAGCATCATGCTAATTTCTCACATTAACATCATGCTAATTTCCCACATTAACATCGTACTAATTTCCCACATTAACATCATGCTAATTTCTCACATTAACATCATGCTAATTTCCCACATTAACATCGTGCTAATTTCTCACATTGACATGCTAATTTCCCACATTAACATCGTGCTTATTTCTCACATTAACATCATGCTAATTTCCCACATTAACATCATGCTAATTTCTCACATTAACATCATGCTAATTTCTCACATTAACATCATGCTAATTTCTCACATTAACATCACTAGCCCCGCCCACGTTGTTTACGACCCTTGGGCTACGCCCATTTTAAACCTTGAAAACAGCCTGCCTCAGCGGCGTTCACCCTCTTTTATCCTCCTGGTGACGAAACGTCGTAGCTTTTTGTTTCTTTTATTTTAATTCATTTCAACCCATCTACGTGACTTTACCAAAAGACCCAAAGAACATGAATTCCTCCAGTCACGAAAGCTTTAAGTCAAAATTTATATACTACACACGATACACTGCACTAGACTACTATACACTGTGCTATACACCACACTACTATACACCACTATACACTACACTACTATACACCACTATACACTACACTACTATACACTACACTATACACCACTATACACTACACTATACACCACTATACACTACACTATACACCACTATACACCACTATACACTACACTACTATACACTACACTACCATAAACCACTATACACTACACTATACACTACTATACACTACACTACTATACACCACTATACACTACACTACTATACACTACACTACCATACACCACTATACACTACACTATACACCACTATACACTACACTACTATACACCACTATACACTACACTATACACCACTATTATACACTACACTATACACCACTATACACTACACTATACACCACTATACACTACACTACTATACACTACACTACTATACACTACACGATACACTACACTACTATACGCTACACTATACACTACACTATACACTATACACCACTATACACTACACTACTATACGCTACTTGCCACTAGACACTACTACACACTACGCTACTAAAAACAATCTGGCCATGTCTCGCAACCCCCCAGGGGCTTGCGTGCACCTCAAGAGCAACCCGCGTAGGCAAAGGACCCTCTCATTAGCGAGTCTCGAGAAACAAACTGAACCGTGTCGCTGCTACGGCCGCTGCCGCCGCTGCTGCTGCTGCCGCTGCCTTGCTGCGCTGTCCTTCCTTCCTGCAATTGTCGCTCCGCCGTTGACGGATTTCCGTCGCCGCACCAGACAGGAACGTGACGTTGAGGAGCCTCGTGCTGTGCCACAGCATCGCCTGGAACGCCGCCACGCGGAGCCGGAGATCTCACCGGCACCCGGCTGGCCGCACCACGCAGAGCCGGAGATCTCACCAGAACCCAGCTAACCGCACCACGCAGAGCCGGAGATCTCACCAGAACCCAGCTAACCAAACCACACGGAGCCGGAGATCTCACCAGAACCTAGCTGACCGCACCAGGCGGAGCCGGAGATCTCACCAGAATCCAGCTGACCGCACCACGTGGAGCCGGAGATCTCACCAGAACCCAGCTAACCAAACCACGCGGAGCCGAAGATCTCACCGGCACCCAGCCCCCGGCCAAGCGGCCGACGCGGCACACCTTCCGGTTGGCTCCATACGGCGCGGAAGACAGAGGTTCAACTCTACGCACGTTAACAACGCAGCTCGCCACAAGCCAAGGAAGCTTCCACAGCTGTCCACGGCTGTCCACAGGCCTTGCCGCCCCCACGCCCGCGCCCCAAAGAAACTTTCAGGACGTCTCCTGCCCCCCCCCCCCCGTTAAACCTCGACCGCGGCTGGCGAGTGTGAGCGAGTCGCCGTACGGGTGAGCGGGCGAGTCAATTTGTGAACATTTTGTGAGCGGGTGAATGGGTGGGGTGAGCGAGCAAGCGAGCGACTGAGAAAGTTAGCGAGTGCGTGAGCAGGTGAGTGAGCGAGCAACAACAGAGCGAGCAAGTGGGAGTTCACGAGCGAGCAAATCGAGAGAGTGCGTGAGAGAGCATGTGAATGAATGAGTGAGTTAGCGAGCGAGTGTGTATGCGAGTGAGCAGTCGAACGAGTGAGCAATCGAGCGAGTGTGCGAGCGAACAATCGACTGAGCGAGCGAGGAGTTCCGTCGCCACCGGTGAGGTCGTGCGTCCGGGCGGGAGCCCGTGGTTGTCCGCGATGCCGCGCCGTGCCGCGTGGGCCGGGCTGCAGCTGCTGCTGCTGGTGGCGGCCGTGCCGCTGCAGACGCTCATCGTACAGTGGAGTGGCAACAACGCCTTCCAGAGGCTGCACGCCATGCGCTGGTAACGCATCGCACCACGCGCGGACCACGCGGCACGCACACAACGCGCACGACCCACAACCCCCCTGCCCCGACACCCGGGCACCACTGAACTCAAAACTATTTTTGATTTCACCCGGTGTAAGGCCCCACTGAGCTGTGTGGCTCTTTTTTTCAGAAGCGACCCGGCGATCACAAATGATTGCTCAACAAAGTGGGCTCATCATCATCATCACCACCACCACCACCATCATCGCGGTCAAATAATCCAAACGTTGATTCTAAAATGTGGAGGGGAAAAAAAACGGAGGACCCGTAGAAAAATCCACACGACCACGGGGAGAGAGAGAGAGAGACACGCAGACTCCGCATACACAAAGCAGGCGTCAGGGTCGAGATGGAACCCACGACCTCCTGCGTACCAGGCGAGGTAGTTAACATCTTCCAGCCACCGCGGACCTCTCGACGCGTTCGCCAAAACCTCCGTGTCCTCCTCCGGCGTGGCGCGTCGCAGTGACGGGCAACTTCGGTCGCAATTGATAACCGGCGCCAGCTCGCTGAACGCACGGCAGTGTCGTCGTGCCGACATCGGCGGGCGCTCGGCCACTCCAAGAGAATTGTCACGCGCAAGGCTGTCCGTGGGGGGCGGCGGCCGCGGCGGCGGCGGCGGTGGCGGTGAGCTTCTTTGCGTTGCCGCCCCGCCAGGCTCACGGAGGAGTTGGGGGGACTGCGGCAGCGGCTGCTGAGACCGGTGCCGTGGCTGTCGTGGGCTCGCGGCTTCGTGCGGCACGCGCGGTGAGAGCCGCCAACCCCCACCGCCACACGCGCACACACACAGACACACACACACACAGACACACACACAGACACACACACACACACAGACACACACACACAGACACACACACACAGACACACACACACAGACACACACACACAGACACACACACACAGACACACACACACAGACACACACAGACACACACGCACACAGCCCCAGTGTTGATGATGTTGATGGCGATGGTGCCGGTGGTGTTGATGGTGCCGATTGATGGTGGCAGCACGGCGCTGGGTGAGGGGGAAGAAGAGGATGCGATGGGGGAGTGCGCTGCCTTGGAAGTTCTCCGACTGGAGGAGATAGACGGACACTTTGCCAGTAAAACGCACGCACACATGCGCACACACACGCCCGTATACGTGCGCACACACACACACGCGCACGCACGCATGCCCATACGCACGTGTACGCACGCACACCAAAGCACACACGCATGTACACACACGTGCCCATGTGTGTATGCACACACCTGCATACAAAGCAAAGGACCCCCGTATAGCCTTAACAGACTGTAGGGGCAAGTGCTGTAAGCGAGCACCTATGAAGGCCGGAACGGTACACGAGGGGGGTGGGTGGCCAGCACCACGCCCGACCGCCTTTGTCTCCCCAGTAGCGATGTTTACACACCGCACCGGGTACTCATTTGAGGCTGAGTCGACCTAGGGGAGGCCCGGGACCGGTTCAGAAAATCGTCAACGGTGTTGGCCGTGAGCGGGAATCGAACCCGGGTCGCGGGGTTCAGAGCTCGGCGTAGCGCTAACCATTTTTCATCTCCACGCTGCTCCGCATGTCTTTGCATGTCTCCGCGTGTGCGTGCGTGCGTGACCCTGCGTGCATCTCCGTGCCCCCCCAGCCTCGGTGTCGGTGCGCTCCCCGCGCCCCCCCCGCGTCTCGTTCCGCGTGGGCCAGGTGATCCGGCACCGGCACGCCGGCTTCACCGGCGTCATCGTCGGCTGGGACGCGCGCACGCACGCACCCCACGACTGGGTGCAACGCTCACACCGCGGGGTCAGTCACACACACACACACATACAGATACAACAACAACAACCGCCATTCGCCACTAAGTGGCGGTGACGTCACCACGACGCTTGTGCCAGGACATGTGCACCTTGAAGCCACGTGAAGTGTCGAACGCCCGCTGGCAGGAGGTCACGGGGCAGACCCAGGTGCCACGGGTCGACTGACTGAGATGACTGGCTGATGCACCACCTGTGCCCCCTACTGTGCCAACCTGCTGTGCTTTAGCCACCCGGCGCTCCGCTCGTTGTTGTGAGCGTCGCTCCTCCGCCCTCCGTTGTTGTTGGAGGGTGACTGCCTCCAACTGCCCAGTAGCGCCCTTCACGAGCCTCCTCCACAGAGGCCGATCTTGACACCGCTGGTACCAGTCATCGGCAAGTCCACTCGGGTCTGCTTTGTGAACACAAAGCAGACCTGAAACACGGACCAACACCTCGGCCGTGGCAGATCACTGTTATAATTCAGTAGGTTCACATGACATTGACTTCTCCAAGACAGAGGTTCTTTGCAAGCCATCTGGCTACCATGAGAGATTCGTTAATGAGGCTATCCACATATACAAACACAGAGACAATTTCAACCGAGAAGATGGATTCTGGCTTAGCAATCATTGGAAGGATTTGATAAACCATTTCGGGTCTTAATTGATTGATCACGCTTAAGGTGGCTTTCAGACCTCATCCATTATTTTTCGTCTACCTCCTCTTTTCCGAACATAGATGGACTCGTCCATCTGAACAACCTGTGAAATCTCTCTCCGTGGTGCTAACGTTAAAAATAACCGCCACTTTTTTCAAATTTTCTTGTTGTGGTTTTCACACCTGATGATGATTGCTTGTGTTGCAGTCAAAAAGTCATGAGAATTTTGTTTTATATTTTTATTATTTTATTGTTTCCCTTCTACGTGACTTTACCAAAAGAACCAAGAATATACATAATGTGGTTGAGCAATAGGGAGCCATTCCTTGACCGCACCCGGGCATCGATCAGCCTCCCATTATATCTGCACCAAACGGAGATTCCCCCGGTACAGCTATTGAAGGCTTCACGAACTACGTGGTCAAAATAGATGTTAAATAATGTGGGAGCCAGAGGACATCCCTGTCGCACCCCAAGGTGTACAGGGAATGGCTCTGACTCCCGGCCACGTAGTTTTACCCGGTTACACACACACGCAGATACACACGCAGATCCACAGTTACACACACGTGGTGATACACACACACGCAGATACACACGCAGATCCACAGTTACACACACGTGGTGATACACACACACGCAGATACACACGCAGATCCACAGTTACACACACGTGGTGATACACACACACGCAGATACACACGCAGATCCACAGTTACACACACGTGGTGATACACACACGTGTACACACGCACGCAGTGAGCGGTGCGTGTCGCCCCCCCGTGTGTGCGTGTGTAGAAGGCGAGTCTCCGCGAGTCCCCCCACTACCGCGTGCTCGTGTCGGGGAGGAACGCCGTGACCTACGTGCCACAGGACGACATCGCCATCCTCAACGGGGTGCAGGTGAGCGCCCCGGCACCACGCACACCCCGACGTCACCACGACGTCACGACGTCACCACGATGCCACCGCGACGTCACCGCGACGCCACCGTGACGTCACCACGACGTCACCACGACGCCACCACGTCGCCACGACGCCACCATGACGCCACCACGACGTCACCACGACGCCACCATGACGTCACAATGACGTCACCACGACGCCACCACGACGTCACCACGTCACCACGTCACCACGATGTCACCACGACGCCACCACGACGTCACCACGACGCCACCATGACGTCACAATGACGTCACCACGACGCCACCACGACGTCAGCACGACGTCACCCACGTGACCGCGTGACCCAGCGACGTCACTGTCGGTCCCCCCCACGTGACCCAGCGACGTCACCGTCGCGAGGTCACGTTGAGTCTACGATCGGCAGGCCACGTGCAGTGGGGCAAACGCGCGACGGGGTAGAGTGTGGGTGCTCCCGCTTCTCTTGCAAGTCGTCTGGCCAGCGTGGAGGAGTAGGCCAAGCACCCCTTGGAGGAAGCTCCATTCGAGCTGCCTCGATCGAGCAGTGGCAAGGGAAAGCAATTAAAATAAAAACCTTAATTTTTTTATTTTACCAGGTGTACGGGCCCCACTGAGCTACGTAGCGCTTTTTCAGAAGTGGCCTGGCCATCACAAATGATAGCTCAACGAAGTGGCTCATCATCATCACCACCACGTGGAAGTTTATAGCTGCAAATACTCCAATCGCGTGACGCTGATTCTAAATGTGGAGGGTAAAAACCTGGAGGACCCGGAGGAAAAAAATCCACGTGACCACGGGCAGAGAGAGAGACGCGCAAACTCCAAACAAACAACAGGCATCGCCAGGGGGTCGGGATCGAACCCAGGACCCGCTGCGCACCAGGCGAGGGAGTTAACATCTCGACTCTCACCCGAGTCAATGCTGCTGATACGACGCACTCCCATGACGAGCGGGCGCCTCCTTCCGTTACACAAATTAACATAATTTCGGATAAATAATGCAAAGTTAACTTTATTTTCATTAACTTTATTTCGTTTGGCGCTTCCGGCGCTTGCTCCCTGCCGACGGTGCCGCGCGCCCGGCATTGTGTCCACCGCACCCCCCACACCGCCGTGCGTGCCGTCAGGTCGCCCACGAGGAGCTGGGCGTCTACTTCCGGGCGTTCGACGGCGCGCAGTACGTCGCGAGGCCCTGGCTGCGCGAGCTCTACCCCCACGACTGACGGCGGCGACTGCGGCGGCGCGGCTCAAACCCCCCCGAGGGCGACGACGTGGACACCGAGCGCCGGAGCTGTCGCGCGGTTGAACCCCGGAGCAGGCCGGAGCGCGTGCAGACGCATGGAATCGGTCCGTCGTGCTGGATAGATGTTAACTACCTCGCCCGGTATGCAGGTGGTCGTGGGTTCGATCCTGACCCTCACGCCTGCTGCTGCTGCTGCTGTGTATTTTGAGTTTGCGTGTCTCTCTCTCTCTCTCTCTCACCGCGGTGGTGTGGAATTATTTTTTTTTTCCTCCGGTTGCTCCGGTGTTCTTCCCTCCACATTCGGCGTTGTAGAGCACTGGGCTGCTGCTGCTGCTGCTGTCAATTCCCAACGTGACGACGATGACGACGATGACGACGACGATGACGACGACGATGACGACGACGAAGCCGCCAACTTCTTTGATGGCCACGTTTTGCGAACGAGAGCTCTACGGCAGCACGCGCTCCCTCTCCATACGCGATGGGGGGAGGGTCCCGACGCTGGCGAATGCAGAGAGCATTCGCGAAATGCCGGGAACCGCGTTCCCGCGCGGATAAAACGGGGTTCACGCTCCCGGTACGAGTGAACATTGGGGTGGGGATCATGGGAAATGTTTAATAGCAATCGATTCCAATAAATAATACGTTGTAAAGAAGGACGTGTGGTGTTTTGTTTTTTTTCTACATTTTCATTTGCGATGGCCAGGTCGCGTCTGTTAAGATCTTACACGGCTCAAGCGAGTCCTCGCCTGTCCAAATGACCCAAACAAAATGACCCAAACAAAATGACCCAAACAAACAGAAATGCGTCGAGTGGTCGAATTGCCGTGATGCTCCGTGCGGGCCGCGTTCACCCCTCGCCAGGCGGTCACCGGATCATCCGGAAGGCGCAGCGACGGGCGGCCTCCTCCGGTTTCACGCGAGCGTGGGTGTCGTTTGGCGGGCCCCCGAATCGCTCTCCCACCACCGCCACCACTGCCGCTGCGACCACCGCCGCCACAGCCACCGCCGCCACAGCCACCGCCACCACCGCCACCACCGCACCCCCCCCCGTGCAGCCTGTAACAGAGACTTGGGGCAAAGTGCTGCTGGCGAGGAGTTTGCAGCGCCTACGAAGGCCGGCACAGCACCACGCCCAGCCGCCTTTGTCTCCCCAGTGGCGATGTTTACACACCGCACCAGGTACTCATTTGAGGCCGAGTAGACTTAGGGGAGGCCCACGAGCGGTTCACATAATCGTCACCCGGTGTTGGTCATGAGCGGGAATCGAACCCGGGTCGCCAGGTTCGTAGCGCTAACTACTACACTACCAACAACAACCGCGATTCGCCACTAAGTGACGTCACCACGGCGCTTGTGCCAGGCTCGGTGCACCTTGAGACCACGTGAAGTGTCGAACGCCCGCCGGCAGGTCATGGGGCAGACCCAGCAGGTGCCACAGGTCGACTGAGATGAGTGGCCGATGCACCACCTGTGCCCCCCCCCTACTGTGCCAACTCGCTGTGCTTTAGCCACCCGGCGCTCCGCTCATTGTTGTGAGCGTCGCTCCTCCGCCCTCCGTTGTTGTTGGAGGGCGACTGCCTCCAACTGCCCAGTAGCGTCCTTCACGAGAGGCCGATCTTGACACCGCTCGTACCGGTCATCGGCAAGTCCACTCAGCTCCACATCCTCTTGTACCACATCACACGCGCGCAGGCAGTGAACGTAACGGAGTTACGGTGGCTAGGAGATGTTAACTACCTCGCCTGGTATACAGGAGGTCGTGGGTTTGATCCTACCCTGACACCTGCTGCTGTATATTTGGAGTTTGTGTGTCTCTCTCTCTCATCATCATCACGGTGGCTAGGAGATGTTAACTACCTCGCCTGGTGTACAGGAGGTCGTGGGTGCGATCCTGACCCTGACGCCTGCTGCTGTATATTTGGAATTTGCGTGTCTCTCTCCCCGTGGTCGCGTGGATTTTGTCTCTGGGTCCTCCGGTTTTTAACTCCACATTTAGAATCGACATCACGCGTTGAGAGTGTTTGGAGAGAGACACACGCAAACTCCAAATATACAGCAGCAGGCGTCAGGGTCGGGATCAAACCCACGACTTCCTGTGTACCAGGCGAGGGGGTCAACATCTCTCCAAGAAGGCCGTGTGGCTGATGGGATGTAAAAACAAAACAAAAAAAAAGGACGGACAGATACAGGGAGTATTGGCAGATCGTTTAATATCGTTTTAGTGGGGTATCAATAAACAGATCACTGTGTATTCGACGCTACTGCGAGATGATTACGGTTGAATATTAAACGAAAAAAATGGAAAATTAATGCGAACACTTTCGAGTTACATTTTGCTGATTACATTTCGTCTAAATATGGTCACACGGCAAACGGAGATGGGGAGGGCCGGGAGGGCCGGGAGGGCCGGGAGGGCCGGGAGGGCCGAGCGGTCGAAGCGGCCGGTGCAGCGTGCCGTCAAACGCGAGCTCCAGTCCCCCCCCCCCCCCCCCCCCGGCCAACTTCGGCGGCGAGCGATACATCCGAAGCGATCGTGGGCATCCCAAGTTGACCGGCGTGGTGAAGTATGGTCAAGGGACCCCGCCCAGCCACGCGAGCCGCGATACCCTGGGGGGGGGCCGCTCCCTCCGCGTCCCTCCGGATACAAATCCCCCGCTGGTATTTTTTACTCCGCAACCACCCGCCCTCCCCCAATCACCGATCGCTTGCCAATTAATTACTTAACCTGACGATCACCCCCCCCCCACCCCGCTCCACCCCTTGAGCTGCTTGGGGGTCTTACGGCTTTGCTTGGAGTCTGCTCGCGCGCCGCTGCCGCAGAGTCGCACGCCGGCCTGGCTCGAGCGCTCACCCCCACGACGACGGCGATGACGACGGCGATGATGATGATGGCGATGATGGCGATGATGATGGCGATGATGATGGCGATGATGATGATGATGACGACGGCGATGATGATGATGATGATGGCGATGATGATAACCATGGCGATGATGGCGATGATGATGACCATGGCGATGAAGGCGATGATGACAATGACCTCGGGGATGGTGGGGCTAACCCGTGCGCCATTTTCCCGTGTGCCGCCTGTAGGGAGCATGTGGTGCGGTGATGGTGCCGTGGTGGTGCGGTGGTGGTGCTGTGGTGGTGCGGTGGTGGTGCGGTGGTGGTGGTGCGGTGGTGGTGCGGTGGTGGTGCCGTGGTGGTGCGGTGGTGGTGCTGTGGTGGTGCGGTGGTGGTGCGGTGGTGGTGGTGCGGTGGTGGTGCGGTGGTGGTGCGGTGGTGGTGGTGCGGTGGTGGTGCTGTGGTGGTGCTGTGGTGGTGCGGTGGTGGTGGTGCGGTGGTGGTGGTGCGGTGGTGGTGCGGTGGTGGTGCCGTGGTGGTGCGGTGGTGGTGCTGTGGTGGTGCTGTAGTGGTGGTGCCGTGGTGGTGCTGTGGTGGTGGTGCCGCTGTGGTGGTGCGGTGGTGGTGCGGTGGTGGTGCTGTGGTGGTGCGGTGGTGGTGCGGTGGTGGTGCGGTGGTGGTGCTGTGGCGGTGCCGTGGCGGTGGCCTTGCGGTGCTGCCGTGGCGGCGCTGCGGCGCCTAGCGGAGCACACGGAACACCGGGTCCCCCACACGCATCACGCCCAGGCGCTCGATGGTGAAGTTCACCCCGAAGAATGGCGCGGTGCCCCACACGTGCTTCTCCGTGGGCTCGCACAGACGGTAGCTGCAGAGACAAAGACCCCCCCCCCCCAGAGTACGGCCTCCGCAGGACCTCTCGGCGCTCGCGAGCGGCGGCGCCTATGGCCGATGGCGGGGCTGGCACGGAGGAAAATAAAAAAAAATCGGCCCCTACGCATTTTGTGAACACGTCGCACAACGCGTGCTGGGCCACCAATCGGGGGGCTATGGAGTAGCGAGATGACGTCGTCGTTGCCACGACGTCGTTGCGACGTCGTTACCACGACGTCATTGCGACGTCGTTGCTGCGACGTCGTTGCCACGACATCGCGACGTCGTTACCACGACGTCGTTGCGACGTCGTTGCTGCGACATCGTTGCTGCGACATCGTTGCCGCGACGTCGTTGCCACGACGTTGCAATGACGTCGTTGCCACGACGTCGTTGCCACGACGTCGTTGCTGCGACGTCGTTGCAATGACGTTGTTGCGACAGTGTCGCTGCCTGCGACGACGTCATTGCGACGCAGTTGCAAAGTTGTCGCGACGACGTCGCGATGTCGTTGGCACGGCGCACGAGGCGGCTCTTACCGCGTGGGCCCGACCCAACGACGCATTGCTAGCCGCAGAAGCCCACGGCCACTCCCCCCAGTCCAAGCAGGCGCTCGCTCGAGGCCGAGCCGACCTAGGGGAGGTTCGGCCGCGAAGCGCGAATTGGAACGCCGGCTCGGTCCTGAGCCGTGGTCGAGAGTGATGAGCGGCGCTCCCTTGAGAAACGTTTCAAGTCGACAAGAGGTTTAACACCGAATTCCCAAAGAACCGCTCTTCGTTGTGGTTGTTTTGTGCCGGCTACGTACGTTGCAGAAGAAGTTCAACGTGAAGCAAACTCTCCTTTGTAATATGACCAGGTTAGGCCCACTTAGCCGTGTAGCTCTTTGTCAGGAGCGACCCCGGCCAGCAAACCACGGTGCAACGAAGTGGCTCATCGCGTTGAATTGTACAACAGCAGCCAAATATTCTGATCGCGTGGTGACGTCGATTCTCAATGCGGAGGGAAAAACCGGAGGACCCGGAGAAAAATCCACGCTACCACACGGGGGGAGAGAGAGAGAGAGACACGCAAACTCCAAATTTCCAGCGGGCGTCAGGGTCGGGATCGAACCCACGACCTCCTGTGTACCAGGCGAGGTAGTTAACATCTCATAGCCACCGTGATGATGATGAGAGAGACACGCAAACTCCAAATATACAGCAGCGGGCGTCAGGGTCGGGATCGAACCTACGACTTCCTGTGTACCAGGTGAGGGAGTTTACATCTCTCCCAGCCACCGTGGCATCCTACATACGTAAAAATCATAAATAAAACCTCTTGGCCCTCGACGCCAGGAAGGAGCCGTGACTCAAGTCGCCATTGGCTATGAGATGTTAACGACCTCGACAGGTTTACAGGAGGTCGTGGGTTTGATCCCGACCCTGATGCCCGCTGCTGTATATTTGGAGTTTGCGTGTCTGTCTCTCTCTCTCATCATCATCACGGTGGCTAGGAGATGTTAACTACCTTGCCTGGTGTACAGGAGGTCGTGGGTTCCATCCCGACCTTGATGCCCGCTGCTGTATATTTGGAGTTTGCGTGTCTCTCTCTCTCTCTCATCATCATCACGGTGGCTATGAGATGTTAACTACCTCGCCTGGTACACAGGAGGTCGTGGGTTCCATCCCGACCCTGATGCCCGCTGCTGTATATTTGGAGTTTGCGTGTCTCTCTCTCTCCCCGTGGATGCGTGGATTTTCTCTCCGGTTCCTCCAGGCTTTTATCCCCCCTCCACATTTACCATGGACGTCACGCGCTCACAGAGTTATTTGGCCGCTGTAAACGTCCACGCGACGACGAGGACGACGAGGAGGAGCCACCGCTTCGTCGAGCACTCGTTTGCGATAGCCAGGAGGTCACTTCTGAAAAAGAGCTACGCCGCTCAGCGGGGGCCTTACACCGGGTGTAAAGTAAAACAACAGTCCAAAGAAAACGACAAAAACTACGATGCTTCGATCACGACACAAGCGTTCGACATCAGGAAGAGCTGCACCTCGTCACTCGCTCACTCACACTCACTCACTCACACTCACCACCACCTCCTCACTCACTCACCCACCCACACTCACCACCAGCTCCTCACTCACTCACCCACACTCACCACCACCACCACCACCTCCTCACTCACACTCACCACCACCTCCTCACTCACTCACCCACCCACACTCACCACCACCTCCTCACTCACTCACCCACCCACACTCACCACCACCTCCTCACTCACTCACCCACCCACACTCACCACCACCTCCTCACTCACTCACTCACCCACCCACCCACACTCACCACCAGCTCCTCACTCACTCACTTACCCACACTCACCACCAGCTCCTCACTCACTCACTCACCCACACTCACCACCACCACCTCCTCACTCACTCACCCACACTCACCACCACCTCCTCACTCGCACTCACCACCACCACCTCCTCACTCACTCACCCACCCACACTCACCACCACCTCCTCACTCACTCACCCACCCACACTCACCACCACCTCCTCACTCACTCACTCACCGCCACCACCTCCTCCTCACTCGCCCGATGACGGAACGTGTGTGCTGCGATGGAAACGTCGAGGTCTTTGTTATTTTCTTTGAACCTATCTACGTGACTTTACCCGAAAGTCGATATTTAAAGCAACAGTTTTAGAAGTTGTGAACAGTACGAAACGCTGTCACTCGCGGCGGGGGAGGGGGCGAGCTGGTACCTGCGGAGAGTCTCCAGAGGCTCCTTGCCGTCCTTGACTCCCGTGTCCGGGTCAACAGTGGTGAGCACACACCTGCCGATGATAAACACTCACCAGCAAATCCTCACTCACTCACTCACACTCACCACCACCAGCTACTCACTCACTCACTCACTCACCCACCCACACTCACAACCAGCTCCTCACTCACTCACCCACATTCACCACCACCTCCTCACTCACTCACCCACACTCACCACCAGCTCCTCACTCGCTCACTCACCCGCACTCACCACCACCACCTCTCCTCCTCCTTACCCACACTCACCACCACCACCACCTCCTCCTCAATCACAATCACTCACCACCACCACCACCTCCTCCTCTTCATCGGGGAGACTCCATCAGAAACCGCTCTGAGACAGCGTGGATGTGAACCGAGGGCCGTGGGTCAGGGCAGGGAGTGTCGTGGGTGGGGGCAGGGAGTGTCGTGGGTGGGGGCAGGGAGTGTCGTGGGTCAGGGCAGGGAGTGCCGTGGGTCGTGGCAGGGAGTGTCGTGGGTCGTGGCAGGGAGTGTTGTGAGTCGTGGCAGGGAGTGTCGTGGGTCAGGGCAGGGAGTGTCGTGGGTCGTGGCAGGGAGTGTCGTGGGTTGTGGCAGGGAGTGTCGTGGGTGGGGGCAGGGAGTGTCGTGGGTGGGGGCAGGGAGTGTCGTGGGTCGTGGCAGGGAGTGTCGTGGGTCGTGGCAGGGAGTGTTGTGAGTCGTGGCAGGGAGTGTCGTGGGTCAGGGCAGGGAGTGTCGTGGGTCGTGGCAGGGAGTGTCGTGGGTGGTGGCAGGGAGTGTTGTGAGTCAGGGCAGGGAGTGTCGTGGGTCGTGGCAGGGAGTGTCGTGGGTGGTGGCAGGGAGTGCCGTGGGTCGTGGCAGGGAGTGTCGTGGCAGGGAGTGTCGTGGGTGGTGGCAGGGAGTGTCGTGGGTGGGGGCAGGGAGTGTCGTGGGTGGGGGCAGGGAGTGTCGTGGGTCGTGGCAGGGAGTGTCGTGGGTCAGGGCAGGGAGTGTCGTGGGTCGTGGCAGGGAATGTCGTGGGTCGTGGCAGGGAGTGTCGTGGGTCGTGGCAGGGAGTGTCGTGGGTCGTGGCAGGGAGTGTCGTGGGTCGTGGCAGGGAGTGTCGTGGGTCAGGGCAGGGAGTGTCGTGGGTCGTGACAGGGAGTGTCGTGGGTCAGGGCAGGGAGTGTCGTGGGTCAGGGCAGGGAATGTCGTGGGTGGTGGCAGGGAGTGTCGTGGGTGGTGGCAGGGAGTGTCGTGGGTGGGGGCAGGGAGTGTCGTGGGTCGTGGCAGGGAGTGTTGTGGATCGTGGCAGGGAGTGTCGTGGGTCGTGGCAGGGAGTGTCGTGGGTCAGGGCAGGGAGTGTCGTACCGGTCGCATCGCTTCAGCTTCCTCAGCCGCACCGTGCCGATCTCCAGCCGCTCCCACGAATCCTGCACGCACGACGACACGACGATACGGTGACACGACGACGACACGATACGGCGACACAATGACACGTCGACACAATGTCGACACTACGACACGTCATCACAACGACGACACGACACGTCGACACAGTGACACGTCGACACAATGACACGTCGACACAATGACACATGTCAACACAACGACGACACGTCAACACGTCGATACGACGATACGACGATGACATGACGACACGTCAACACGTCAACACGACGTCGACACAATGTCGACACTACGACACGTCGACACGACGTCGACACGACGATATGGCGACACGACAACACGTCAATACTACGATGTGACACGTCGACACGACAACACCGCGACACGACACGTCGACACAACGTCAACACGACGACACGTCAACACTACGATACGACACGTCGACACGTCAACACAACGTTAACACGACGACACGTCAACACTACGATACGACACGTCAACACAACGTTAACACGACGACACGTCAACACTACGATACAACACGTTGACACAACGTTAACACAACGTTAACACGACGACACGTCAACACTACGATGCGACACGTCGACACGACGTTCACGTGGTGGAGACACAAGAGCCCAGCTCCGCCCGTGCAGGCGGAACGTTGAACTTCTGGGGGGGAGGGGCGGGGGGGGCTGGGGGCTACGTGCAGGGAGCGACGATCGTCACCTCGTCGAACGCCGCACAGCCGCTCACGACGATGTTGGGCCTGAAGTTGCGAAGGGAGACAGTTTTCTTCTCCAGCTTGGCGTGGAGGTCTTCCATCGACGCCTCGGTCATCAACATGTAGGGGCTGTAGTCTGAGTAGGCCACCTGGGGGGAGGGGGCGAGGGGTGAGAAGGCGGGGCTAGTGGGCGAGTGTGTGGGTGAGTGACTGTGTGAGTGGGTGAGTGACTGTGTGACTATGTGAGTGACTATGTGATTGGGTGAGTGACTATGTGATTGTGTGACTATGTGAGTGGGTGAGTGACTATGTGAGTGGGTGAGTGACTATGTGACTGTGTGAGTGAATATGTGATTGGGTGAGTGACTATGTGACTGTGTGATTGACTATGTGAGTGACTATGTGAGTGGGTGAGTGACTATGTGACTGTGTGAGTGAATATGTGAGTGGGTGAGTGACTGTGTGAGTGGGTGACTATGTGAGTGGGTGAGTTACTGTGTGAGTGGGTGAGTGACTATGTGAGTGGGTGAGTGACTATGTGAGTGGGTGAGTATGTGAGTGGGTGAGTGACTGTGTGAGTGGGTGACTATGTGACTGTGTGAGTGAATATGTGAGTGGGTGAGTGACTGTGTGAGTGGGTGACTATGTGAGTGGGTGAGTGACTGTGTGAGTGGGTGAGTGACTATGTGAGTGGGTGAGTGACTATGTGAGTGGGTGACTATGTGAGTGGGTGAGTGACTATGTGAGTCTGTGTGTGTACGTTGAACTTCTTTAGCACCGTACGTACCCAACCACGCTAATCGGAGGCTGGGTGAGTGTAGCTCTACGTACGGTGCGAATGAAGTTCATCCCTACATATATATACACACCTACACATTCACACGTACACACACACACGTACATATACACACAAAGCTAACCGTGTCCGTATTACATGTACAGATCCCTCACGCGATAACCCCGGTGTTTGTGTCCTTGCCGATTCACATTTGCTCCATTGTTGCAATTAATTTTATTTTCTTACGTTTGGCGACTCGCACAGGCGAGCCTCTACCCTGGTCACGCGTTAATATCGCGGCCGTTTGTTGCCGCTGTTGCCGGTGTCGTTTTTGCTGTCGTCAACGCGGCAGGAGAGAAAAAACTAGCGTCCCGACGGTGAACTGACGCCGAGCAAGCCCCCAGGAGGGACCTTGTCGGCGGGGGTGTGGGCGATGAGGGGGATGCACGGCGCGGACATCCGGAGCAGCTGCCGGGCCTCCATGTCGTCCTCAAAGTGGACGAGGCGGAGCGGGGCGGCGCTCGCCAGGAACGCCGTGAACCAGGCCGCAGCCTCGTCGCCACAGTCGCGGCCTGGCACGTCCATGCCAAACACCCTGCACGCCACGACACGTCACGACACGACATGACACGTCACGACACGTCACGTCACGTGACGTCACGACACGTCACGTGACGTCACGACACGCTAAGGACATGTCATGACACGTCACGACACGCCACGTCACGACACGTCACATCACGACACGACACGTCACGTCAGGACACGTCACGGCTAGACACATCAAGCCACGACACGTTACGTCACGTATTGTCACGCTATGTCACGCTACGGACATGTCACGTCACGCCACGTCACGTCATGACACGTCACGACACGTCACGCCACGACACGACACGCTAAGGACATGTCACGACACGCCACGTCAGGACACGCCGCCCCCCCCCACCGGTCGATCCTCCCGCGGAGCCCCCGGAGAGCTGAAGGGGGACCTGCACGTGCTGAAGGGGGACCTGCACGAGTGGACAGGGGTCCTGCACGTGCTGACAGGGGACCTGCACGTGCTGAAGGGGGACCTGCACGAGTGGACAGGGGACCTGCACGTGCTGAAGGGGGACCTGCACGAGTGGACAGGGGTCCTGCACGTGCTGACAGGGGACCTGCACGTGTGGACAGGGGACCTGCACGTGCTGACTGGGGACCTGCACGAGCTGACAGGGGACCTGCACGAGCTGACAGGGGACCTGCACGTGCTGAAGGGGACCTGCACGAGCTGACGGGGGACCTGCACGTGCTGACTGGGGACCTGCACGTGTGGACAGGGGACCTGCACGAGCTGAAGGGGGACCTGCACGTGCTGACAGGGGACCTGCACGTGCTGACAGGGGACCTGCACGTGCTGACAGGGGACCTGCACGTGTTGACTGGGGACCTGCACGTGTTGACTGGGGACCTGCACGTGTTGACTGGGGACCTGCACGTGTTGACTGGGGACCTGCACGTGTTGACTGGGGACCTGCACGTGTTGACAGGGGACCTGCACGTGCTGACTGGGGACCTGCACGTGTTGACAGGGGACCTGCACGAGCTGACAGGGGACCTGCACGTGTTGACAGGGGACCTGCACGTGTTGACAGGGGACCTGCACGAGCTGACTGGGGACCTGCACGTGTTGACAGGGGACCTGCACGTGTTGACAGGGGACCTGCACGAGCTGACTGGGGACCTGCACGTGTTGACAGGGGACCTGCACGTGTTGACAGGGGACCTGCACGTGTTGACAGGGGACCTGCACGTGTTGACAGGGGACCTGCACGTGTTGACAGGGGACCTGCACGTGTGGACTGGGGACCTGCACGTGTGGACTGGGGACCTGCACGTGTGGACTGGGGACCTGCACGTGCTGACAGGGGACCTGCACGTGTTGACAGGGGACCTGCACGTGTTGACAGGGGACCTGCACGTGTTGACAGGGGACCTGCACGTGTGGACTGGGGACCTGCACGTGTGGACTGGGGACCTGCACGTGCTGACAGGGGACCTGCACGTGCTGACAGGGGACCTGCACGTGCTGACAGGGGACCTGCACGTGTGGACTGGGGACCTGCACGTGTTGACAGGGGACCTGCACGTGTTGACAGGGGACCTGCACGTGTTGACAGGGGACCTGCACGTGTTGACAGGGGACCTGCACGTGTGGACTGGGGACCTGCACGTGTGGACTGGGGACCTGCACGTGCTGACAGGGGACCTGCACGTGCTGACAGGGGACCTGCACGTGCTGACAGGGGACCTGCACGTGTGGACTGGGGACCTGCACGTGCTGACAGGGGACCTGCACGTGTGGACAGGGGACCTGCACGTGTGGACTGGGGACCTGCACGTGTGGACTGGGGACCTGCACGTGCTGACAGGGGACCTGCACGTGCTGAAGGGGGACCTGCACGTGTGGACTGGGGACCTGCACGTGTGGACTGGGGACCTGCACGTGCTGACAGGGGACCTGCACGTGCTGACAGGGGACCTGCACGTGCTGACAGGGGACCTGCACGTGCTGACAGGGGACCTGCACGTGTGGACTGGGGACCTGCACGTGCTGACAGGGGACCTGCACGTGCTGACAGGGGACCTGCATGTGCTGACAGGGGACCTGCACGTGTGGACTGGGGACCTGCACGTGCTGAAGGGGGACCTGCACGTGCTGACTGGGGACCTGCACGTGTGGACTGGGGACCTGCACGAGCTGACAGGGGACCTGCACGTGTGGACTGGGGACCTGCACGTGCTGAAGGGGGACCTGCACGTGCTGACTGGGGACCTGCACGTGTGGACTGGGGACCTGCACGAGCTGACAGGGGACCTGCACGTGTGGACAGGGGACCTGCACGTGCTGACAGGGGACCTGCACGTGCTGACAGGGGACCTGCACGTGCTGACAGGGGACCTGCACGTGCTGACAGGGGACCTGCACGTGCTGACAGGGGACCTGCACGTGCTGACAGGGGACCTGCACGTGTGGACTGGGGACCTGCACGTGCTGACAGGGGACCTGCACGTGCTGACAGGGGACCTGCACGTGCTGACAGGGGACCTGCACGTGCTGACAGGGGACCTGCACGTGTGGACTGGGGACCTGCACGTGCTGACAGGGGACCTGCACGTGCTGACAGGGGACCTGCACGTGCTGACAGGGGACCTGCACGTGCTGACAGGGGACCTGCACGTGCTGACAGGGGACCTGCACGTGCTGACAGGGGACCTGCACGTGCTGACAGGGGACCTGCACGTGCTGACAGGGGACCTGCACGTGTGGACTGGGGACCTGCACGTGCTGACAGGGGACCTGCACGTGCTGACAGGGGACCTGCACGTGCTGACAGGGGACCTGCACGTGTGGACTGGGGACCTGCACGTGTGGACTGGGGACCTGCACGTGCTGACAGGGGACCTGCACGTGCTGACAGGGGACCTGCACGTGCTGACAGGGGACCTGCACGTGCTGACAGGGGACCTGCACGTGCTGACAGGGGACCTGCACGTGCTGACAGGGGACCTGCACGTGCTGACAGGGGACCTGCACGTGTGGACTGGGGACCTGCACGTGCTGACAGGGGACCTGCACGTTCTAACAGGGGACCTGCACGTGCTGACAGGGGACCTGCACGTGCTGACAGGGGACCTGCACGTGCTGACAGGGGACCTGCACGTGCTGACAGGGGACCTGCACGTGCTGACAGGGGACCTGCACGTGCTGACAGGAGACCTGCACGTGTGGACTGGGGACCTGCACGTGCTGACAGGGGACCTGCACGTGCTGACAGGGGACCTGCACGTGCTGACAGGGGACCTGCACGTGTGGACTGGGGACCTGCACGTGTGGACTGGGGACCTGCACGAGCTGACTGGGGACCTGCACGTGCTGACAGGGGACCTGCACGTGTGGACTGGGGACCTGCACGTGCTGACAGGGGACCTGCACGTGCTGACGGGGGACCTGCACGAGCTGACTGGGGACCTGCACGTGCTGACAGGGGACCTGCACGTGCTGACAGGGGACCTGCACGTGCTGACAGGGGACCTGCACGTGTGGACTGGGGACCTGCACGTGTGGACTGGGGACCTGCACGAGCTGACTGGGGACCTGCACGTGCTGACAGGGGACCTGCACGTGTGGACTGGGGACCTGCACGTGCTGACAGGGGACCTGCACGTGCTGACGGGGGACCTGCACGTGCTGAAGGGGGACCTGCACGTGTGGACTGGGGACCTGCACGAGCTGACTGGGGACCTGCACGTGTGGACTGGGGACCTGCACGTGCTGACAGGGGACCTGCACGAGCTGACAGGGGACCTGCACGTGCTGACAGGGGACCTGCACGTGTGGACAGGGGGACCTGCACGTGCGGACGGGGTTGGTGGGCGGCAGCGAGATGGGCACGGCCAGGGCGGCGGCCACGCCGGGCGCCGTGAAGCGCAGGAGGCCGGCGTCGCTCGAGTCCCACGTGACCTCGACCAGAACGAGGCGTGGCTCCTGGCGAGCCGTCACCTGGGCGCCGCTCTGCTCCGTCACCACGAGCCAGTGCCTGGGGTGGGAGAGACAGGAGGGGGAGGGAGGGAGAGAGAGAGAGGGGGGAGGGAGGGAGAGGGAGGGAGAGGGAGGGAGAGACAGGAGAGGGAGGGAGAGGGAGGGAGAGAGAGGGAGGGAGGGAGAGGGAGGGAGAGGGAGGGAGAGACAGGAGAGGGAGGGACAGGAGAGAGAGGGAGAGAGAGACAGGAGAGGGAGGGAGAGACAGGAGAGGGAGGGAGAGACAGGAGAGAGAGGGAGGGAGAGACAGGAGAGGGAGGGAGAGACAGGAGAGGGAGGGAGAGAGAGGAGGGAGAGACAGGAGAGAGAAGGGAGAGAGAGATACAGGAAAGACAAAAAAACCGAAGTGATGAAAGAAGCAAAGTGCCGACTACACCGAGCATCTTCTTGTTTCCTCTGATCGTAACAAAAGAGGGAGGGAGGGGGAGGGAGAGACAGGAGGGTGAATTTTCTTGTTGGTGTCTATGAACACAGTAGCGCACAATGGCATTTATGTTACATGGGAAAACCGTGTGATCTCTTCGATTTAAAAAAGGGGGCACAAAAGCAAACAACAAAAAGCGACATGATGAATGAAGCAAAGTGCCGAAAAATTTAGCATCTTTATGAATCTTCTGATAGTAAAAAAAGGGAGGGGAGGGAGGCAGGAGGGAGGGGACGGAGGGGACGGAGGGCGGAGAGGGATGAGAGAGAGTAATGAAAGGGAAGGAGTGCAGTGACCTCGCCGTGACCTCGTCTGTGTTGTGCCTACGAGTGGCTCATTGAGGGTGACCTTGAACTTTGCAGGTGTGGTACTCGCTGGCTGTGGATGTGTGGGACCAGCACAACGGCACCCGGGCCAGCCCACGAGCGTTTCGTCTGGACAAAGTCATCTGAAGAATGGAGTGATGAAGTTTGACGAGGTGTCGAGGCGGAGTTACTGCCGGCCGATGGAAACGATGATCGACATCCTGCACGAGTACCCAGACGAGGTGGAGCACTTCTTTCCGGCCGTCGTGCGTGCCGCTCTTACGCTGCCTCTGGCTGTTGCAACGACGAGAACCAGGAATGTCTCCCCACAGAGACCGCCAACATCACTCTACAGTATGAGACCTCCTTCGCCAAAGGAGGTCTCAAAATGTAAATGCTCACCCCGAGCCCTCAATACTCTTGATAGTGCGCTGTTTTTGAGTTGTACGCCTTTTGGCGTCATCTGGTCCAACACCAGTGGAGACGAGGCTCTAAGAAAAGCCGTCTCGGGTGTGGACCAATCAACTTCAAGGACAGTGCCAATACATTATCAGAGTTCTTGTTTGCATTTTGACTGCTTGTGTTGTGGTTATTGCAAACACGATCCCCCTTGTATAAAGGTGTCAGTTTTGGTGCCGGATAAAAGGGTAAAAACCTATTACTATCACTCTACAGGTTTATAAATTCGAACTACGCCACAATGCAGGTTACGAAGAAATGTCATTTCAGCAGCACACCAAATGCGAGCGTAGACCACGAGCAGCTTGTGCAAACCATGCGCGGAAAGGCCAGACCCTGACACCTGCATGCAGGTTGCTTGTGCAAGCTGTCAGTGGCACGTTGCAAACATCGGAGCCAAGAGCTGAATGAGCACAGCTACAGGCGCGAAAGACCAAGGAGATGGAAATACCATCCCATCCGCCAACGCCGATGGAGAAGAAGTCGCCCAGTGTAGCAAAGAAGCTGGTGTCCATCTCCCGGCAGAGGCGCGCTTGCTCAGAGGCGCGCTTGCTCAGGATTTGTCTTGGTGCATTTTTCTTCCCGGCGTTTTTTGCACTTGATGGGCCCCGTGTGGCCCACAGGAGTCGGCTCTGCCGTGCATGGGACTCGTTCCTCTGGTGTCTGAAGCAACAGCTGTGCACTATTGTGGTCTAATAATGTAATGACAACACAAAAAGGACGTATAAAAATGACCACATGGTATCACGTATTTTTTTTTTAGATATCCATATCGCAAGCAACATCATTAAACAGCAGGAATCACCCGAAGTTTTTTTTTGTTTATAAATTAGCAAAACGCATGACAACTGGAATATCGGTTGCGAAATTTGTCGCAGATAAATGAACTATTTGACATTAAAATAAGGAGGGAGAGACAAGGTCCTGAGAAACATCCTCCTAAGGTTCAGCCTCCACTTCTCCCCGACGGTCCTCATCTTTGGATACCCGAAGGGCGACGGACCCCAACAACTTCAGGGGCCGGTCAACGTGCTCGTCGGCTACGCCAAGCTCGCCGTATACAGGGCGAGGAAGGTGGCCCTGGAGGGGCAACGTCCAGCCAGCAGCCTGGGCATCTTCCGCGCTCTGGTCGGAGCCAGGGTGTGGCCGGAGTTCCGCCGTGCGCGGCTGACCCACGCCGTGCCGGCCTTCAAGGAGCAGTGGGCAGCTGGAGGAGGCCGTGTGCTCGGTGGCAGATGACGGTAGAGAGCTCTGTGCGTGCACATTGTGAGCTACCCGTCGGAGGCCGTTGAGTGTGGGAAGGGCTGCGTGCAGATGCAGCACTTGTCGTAGTTATATAGAAAAGATAGAGAGCGAGAGAGAGCCAAATGGAGTAGGAAGAGAGGGGGCAGAGAGAGAGGGGGCGGAGAGGGGGTAGAGAGAGAGGAGAGGCAGAGAGGGGGGTAGAGAGAGGGAAGGGGTAAGGAGAGCAGAAAAAAATATTGTGTTAAATCTTTCATTTAAAAGGGGGGGGGGGAGGGTTACATAAAGCAAAGCATAAAAAACGAAATGATGAACGGAGCAAAGTGCCGACTACACCGAGCATCTTCTTGTTTCCTCTGATCGTAAAAAAGAGAGGGAGTTGAGAGAGAGGCAGGAGAGGGAGGGGAGAGAGAGGGGAGGGAGAGGCAGGAGAGGGAGGGGAGAGAGAGGCAGGAGAGGGAGGGGAGAGAGAGGCAGGAGGGAGGGGAGAGGGAGGGGAGGGAGAGGCAGGAGAGGGAGGGGAGAGAGAGGCAGGAGAGGGAGGGGAGAGGGAGGCAGGAGGGGAGAGAGAGGCAGGAGAGTGAGGGGAGAGGGAGGGGAGGGAGAGGCAGGAGAGGGAGGGGAGAGAGAGGCAGGAGAGTGAGGGGAGAGAGAGGCAGGAGGGAGGGGAGAGGGAGGGGAGGGAGAGGCAGGAGAGGGAGGGGAGAGAGAGGCAGGAGGGAGGGGAGAGGGAGGGGAGGGAGAGGCAGGAGAGAGGGAGGTGACTGTCTAACAAAGCCAACAGTGTCTGACCACTGGGTCACTCCTCCCAACTCTCTCCACAGTTGGCAGGAGTGCACCCTTCAAAATGCCCCCTCCCCCCCACCGTGTGTGTCTGTGCGAACGCCCCTTCTATGAGCCCACTGACCCCAATTCCACGCCGTGACCCATCCCCCCTCCCCCCCCCCAACTCGCCTGTCTTTCACGGGCCCAAGGGACATGCCCCTGGGGCCGCACGCGGCCTCGGTGAGCGCCAGCGGGCGACACGACTTGACGGGGAAGATCGCCAGCGCAGACACCGTGCCCACACGCACCCTCACCTCCCTCCTCCTGCTCAGCCACAGCCAGAGGCCCCCCACGGCCAGGCAGCCCCCCACGGCCCCCCACGCCACCCAGCGCCAACCACCACCATCAGCGGTAACGGCGGCGGCGGCGATGCCAAGATCCCGACTCCAGATCATCATCGTCTCTGGGCTGGGCGAGATGGAATTGGTGTTCGTGGTCGTGAGGTGGTGGTTGGGTGGTGGTGGTGATGGCTGTGGACGGCATTATATTGTTCGCGATCGGAGGATGGGCGAGTTTGTTGGGTGTGTGAGTGGGTGGGTGACTATGTGTGTGAGTGACTGTGTGAGTGGGTGAGTGACTTTGGGAGAGTGAGTTACTATGTGAGTGGGTGAGTGAGTGGGTGAGTGACTTTGGGAGCGGGTGAGTGACTGTGTGAGTGGGTGAGTGACTATGTGAGTGGGTGAGTGACTATGTGAGTGGGTGAGTGACTATGTGAGTGGGTGATTGACTATGTGAGTGGGTGAGTGACTGTGTGAGTGGTTGAGTGACTATGTGAGTGGGTGAGTGACTGTGTGAGTGGGTGAGTGACTGTGTGAGTGGGTGAATGACTATGTGACTGTGTGAGTGGGTGAGTTACTGTGTGAGTGACTATGTGAGTGGGTGAGTGACTATGTGAATGGGTGAGTGTGTGAGTGGCTGAGTGACTGTGTGAGTGGGTGAGTGACTATAAGTGGGTGAGTAACTGTGTGAGTGGCTGAGTGATTGTGTGAGTGTGCGAGTGACTGTGAGTGGGTGAGTGACTGTGTGAGTGGGTGAGTGACTATGTGAGTGGGTGAGTGACTGTGTGAGTGGGTGAGTGACTATGTGAGTGGGTGAGTAACTGTGTGAGTGGGTGAGTGACTGTGTGAGTGGGTGAGTGACTGTGTGAGTGGGTGAGTGGCTATGTGAGTGGGTGAGTGACTGTGTGAGTAGGTGAGTGGCTGTGAGTGGGTGAGTGACTGTGTGAGTGGGTGAGTGACTGTGTGAGTGACTGCGTGACTGTGAGTGACTGTGTGAGTGGCTATGTGAGTGAGTGACTATGAGTCTATGTGTGTGTACGTTGAACTTCGTTGGCACCGCACGTTTTAAGTCAACCGAGCTAACCGGAGGTCCTAAGACTCCAGAGAGAGATAAATCGAGATGCGAGAGTGGGCCCCCCACACACAGCGCGTGTGTGTTGGGGTCTCACGCGCCTGGGATCTGCTAGAGGCCGCAGAAGCAACGTAGGGGCGCCCGTAAGAACTGGTGGAATGAACCACGGGTGGACTATAATATAAACTAGAATATAAACAACAGTATAAGAACATAAACTAGACGTACCCGCGCGAAGCACTTAGCAGCTGATCGCAGCCCTCCGAGTGGACTTTGCAGCAAAGTGGGCGTGCCTGTGTGTGTGTACAGTGCGCGTGCCTGTGTGTGTACAGTGCGCGTGCGTGGTCCAAGTGCACTTAAAGAGACACCTGAGTTGGGGCATCAACGCTCGATCTACAACAACCGTGTCAGCCACCAGCGGGTTCACCCTGTGTTCGTGTAGCAGGCGACATTGAGTCTTCATGCATGCCGTACACTACTATACAACACACTACACCATACCTTTTTGATTTAAAGCTTTCGTGACTGCAGGGATTCATATTCTTGGTTCTTTCGGTAAAGTCACGTAGAAGGGAAACAATAAAATAAAATTATCACGACGTTTGGACTGCAACACAAGCAATCATCATCAGGTGTGAAAACCACAGCAAGAAAATTAGAAAAATTTGAAAATTTCTTGCTGTGGTTTTCACACCTGATGATGCTTGCTTGTGTTGCAGTCGAAACGTCGTGATAATTTTATTGTTTTATGTTTTTATTATTGTATTGTTTCCCTTCTACGTGACTTTACCGAAATAACCAAATATATATACCATACCTGTTAACACATACGGTTTAGGGGCCGTCCATAAATGACGTCACGCGATTTTGGACGATTTTTGACCCCCCCCCCTCGTCACACAGTCAGATCCCCCCTCAAATATGACGTCACAAAGCTCTGCCCCCCCCAAAAAAAACATGCTTCAAATCGCTTTAAACTATTGTCATTGTAGTGCGTGTTTAATGTGGCGCTGCACTCTGATGTAGGATAAAACATTAAAAAGTCTTTAATTAAAGTAGAACGTGTTGTCTATATTTATTTAAAGTTGCGCATTTTGATGTGACGCCATATTTCTCCACCCCCCCCCCCCCAGGTGCGTGACGTCATGGATCTGTAATAACGTAGGGCACCGATAAGTGGTTGACAGGAATGGATCATCATCCATAGGCTTGAAATTGCTTCTTCAATGCACACACTTTTACTAATTAGCACGCAAAAGGTATAAAACACATTATCTAACAAAGGTCTCGGGTGTGGTTTGCACAAAGAAAGTTAAATGCATCGAAAATCTCGAATTGAGTCTTGCGTAGAAAACACTTCCACTCGCTAGGGCTTCTCAGATCCGAAGCAATTAAAAGCGTAAAAGATGCCGAAGAATATAAACAGACGGCGGGGAAAGTTCAATAAAAGTGTGCAAAATAAAAATGGAGAGGTATCCGATGAGCTTTAAAGCTCTTTAACCAACCCCGCCGTGGGAACGTCACTTAAACGCGACGTTTTTCACCACCCTTGGCAGTCGTTGTTTCAGAGCTTTCGCGACCAACATTATCCACAGAGTGCTACGTGCGGCTCGACGTCCAACCTCCTCCGCCTCGTCCCTGCCTGGGTAGCGGTGACGTCACCACGACGCTTGTGCCAGGCCAGGTGCACGTTGAGGCCACGTGAAGTGTCCCGCTGGCAGGAGGTCACGGGGCAGACCCAGGCGCCACGGGTCTACTGACATGACTGGCTGGTGCACCACCTGTGCCCCCTACTGCGCCAACCTGCTGTGCTTTAGCCACCCGGCGCTCCGCTCGTTGTTGTGAGCGTCGCTCAGTTGCCCTCCGATGTTGTTGGAGGGCGACTGCCTCCAACTGCCCGGTAGCGTCCTTCACGAGCCTCCTCCGCAGAGGCCGATATTGACACCGCTGGTACCGCTCATCGGCAAGTCCACTCAGCTCCACGTCCTGTACCACATCACTCCATCTCTTCTCCAGCCCGTGCCGCGCCCGTTTAGCCCCCTCGATCCAGCCGAACAAAAGCTGTTTGGGCATGCGGTGGCTGGGCATGCGGGCTACATGACCCAGCCAACGCAGCCTTGCCTGCCGGAGAAGCTCACCGATGGAACTTTATCCAGATCTGTCAAGGATTTGTGAGCTCCTCACACAATCCAGTCTGGTTAAACCCAGGATGGATCGTAGGCACGCCAGCCTGAATGTTTCTAACCGGCGAAGATGTTCCATTAGAGGGGGGGGGGTCCACTTTTCGCAAGCGTAGAAACCCACACACACACCGACACCCACACAGCGCTTGTACGTGCACGGTGTAGGGCACAGCCCCGCGACTCTTCTCGATCGAGCCACTCTGAAGTGGACTTTGGGCCTCCGCGCAAGCACCCAAAGACGTCCGTCTTGGTAGAGGTTGGTGGGGGAGGGGGGTTACCCACGCTTTACCCTACCGCACGTAACCTGCACGGTCGGCCGTGGTGGAACCCATTCACGCTGCTGGGTCGACCGAAGCGGAGTGAGCGTGTACGTACCGACGTATGTTCACGTTGAACTTCTTTCGTACCGTGACGTAGCCAACCGTGCTAATCGGAGGTGCGGGTGAGTGACTATGTGAGTGGGTGAGTGACTGTGTGAGTGGGTGAGTGACTTTGTGAGTGGGTGAGTGACTTTGTGAGTGGGTGAGTGACTATGTGACTGTGAGTGGGTGACTATGTGAGTGGGTGAGTGACTATGTGACTGTGAGTGGGTGACTATGTGACTGTGAGTGGGTGACTATGTGACTGTGAGTGGGTGACTATGTGACTGTGAGTGGGTGACTATGTGACTGTGAGTGGGTGACTATGTGACTGCGAGTGGGTGACTATGTGACTGAGTGGGTGAGTGACTATGTGAGAGGGTGAGTGACTGTGAGTGGGTGAGTGACTATGTGACTGTGAGTGGGTGACTATGTGAGTGGGTGACTATGTGACTGTGAGTGGGTGACTATGTGACTGTGAGTGGGTGAGTGACTATGTGAGTGGCTATGTGAGTGGGTGACTATGTGAGTGGGTGAGTGACTATGTGACTGTGAGGTGAGTGACTATGCGAGTGAGGGACTTCGAGTCTGTATTGAACTTATTTTGCACCATACGTAGCCAACCGTGATAATTGGAGGCTGGGTAAGTGTGTGGGTGACTATGTGAGTGACTATGTGAGTGTGGGAAGGACGACAAACTAAACACAAAGCAGTTTTCAATGTAGTATAGTGGTGTAGTGTATAGTTGTGAAGCATAGTGTAGTGTAGTACATAGTGTAGTGTATAGTGGACTGTGTAGTGTATAGTAGCGTGTGTATAGTGTAGTGTAAAGTGTAGTACATAGTGTAGTGTATAGTGGACTGTGTAGTGTAGTACATAGTGTAGTGTATAGTGGACTGTGTAGTGTATTGTGTAGTACATAGTGTAGTGTATAGTGTAGTGTATAGTGTAGTGTAGTACATAGTGTAGTGTATAGTGGACTGTGTAGTGTATTGTGTAGTACATAGTGTAGTGTATAGTGGACTGTGTAGTGTAGAGTGTAGTGTAGTACATAGTGTAGTGTATAGTGGACTGTGTAGTGTATTGTGTAGTACATAGTGTAGTGTATAGTGGACTGTGTAGTGTAGAGTGTAGTGTAGTACAGTGTAGTGTATAGTGGACTGTGTAGTGTATAGTAGCGTGTGTATAGTGTAGTGTATAGTGTAGTACATAGTGTAGTGTATAGTGGACTGTGTAGTGTATAGTGTAGTGTAGTACATAGTGTAGTGTATAGTGGACTGTGTAGTGTATAGTAGCGTGTGTGTATGTATGTTGAGCTTCTTCTGCACCGTACCTAGCCAACCGTGCTACTTGGAGGTGCGGGGGGGAAGGACAACAAACTAAGCACACAAAAAGCAGTTTTTAAATAAATGCATTTTCAATCGAGGTGATGATTTAAAAGTGCACAGCTCCCAGCGGCTTCCGAACATCAGGAGGAAGAGCGTTCCAGACGGCCGCAGCAGCGCCATCAGAAGGCGCCGCGCGACGATGCGGTGACCACCGCCGTGTTTGTTCGACGGCCCGGCCACAAGTCGCCACCGCCGCCGCCGGGAGGATGACAGCCTCCGACGAGACCAGCCGCGACGTTTTGCTGTTCATTGCTGTGGCGAGCGACTGTGCGTGGCGTCATGAGGGCGATGACGAGCGACGTTTCGGGTGGCAATGGCCCTGGCTGCACGGCACATTGGAGGCCAGTAGAGAGCGAGAGAGAGAGCGAGAGAGAGAGCGCGTGGGTGATAATAAGTGGGAGGCCGCACGTGTTTTTTGTACGCACCGTGGACGCGGTGTTTTTGCCCGATGGGGATCACAGATTGCCAAAGAGCCTCGCCCCCTCTCCACCACGATCCACCATCGGCGTCGCCGTTCTCGCCGAGCGAGGCTATCCGCCGCATGGCCGCCGTTTCACGGACACGGCGAGCTTCCCCTCTCTCTCCCCCGACGTCCACCCCCCCCCCCCCCACCCCGTGGTCACGTGGATTTTTCTCCGGGTCCATCCCGGTTTCCCCCCCCCCGTCCCCCACTCCACGTTAACAATCGGCACCGCTGTAAATTTCCCCGCACTACGACGACCCACTTCATTGAGGCAGCCGTCTGTGGCGGCCAGTGTCGCTCCTGAAAACAAGCACTATTATTACTACTACTACGCTCGCTCAGCGTGGCCCTTGCCTGGTAAGTTTACCCGCGGGGTGACGGCGGCGGTGGCGGCGAGCGAGGCTGGCACGGCTCGGGTGTGCCAGTGGAAAAGCGGTGAGTACGGAGACCCGCCCCCCCCCCCCCCTCCACCGCTAGCCCCCCACCCCGCTAGGCGGTGCCGCGCGGCGTGGGCGGCGGCAGCAGCAGCTGCTTCCAGCGGCGCAGGCGCACGCCGTAGCGCTGTGAGGGCAAGCGCTCCTCGCTGGCATGCAGCACCACCACGCGTGCCACCGCCTCCCCCTGGGCGCCTCCTCCTCCACCTCCTCCACCTCCTCCACCTCCTCCCCTCCTCCCCTCGTCGGTCTTCGCCGCAGAGACCGACGCCGCGGCCGGCGCCCCCGTGGGAAGCGGCAGCAGCAGGTCCAGGACGTCGCCCTCGCGCACCTGCGGGAGTGGGGGGGGGGGGGGGCAGAGAGTCGTGGGGGAGAAGCCCCGGGGGGCCCCCGCGAGTATGAATGATGCGGTCGTTAAAACCACCGCGGCCCATCATGGCGACGACTCGGCCAACTGCGTGAGGGGCTGTCACGTAAACTAAACGTGCCCAACTTTGCCACGAAAAGTGCCCGATCGGTGACTTGTTCAGCACTCACCGGTCGTGTGTTGGACAAGTAAACCCACGACGTTTACAATTATAGTGTAGTGGATAGTAGTGTATCATAGTGGATAGTAGTGTAGTGTATAGTAATGTAGCCTTTCGTGTAGTATACTAGTTCAGCACTAACCGCTTGTGTGTTGGAGAGTAAACCCACTACAATATTTACAATTCGTTACTAGTACAGCACTAACCGGTTGTGTGCTGGAGAGTTAAACCCACTACAACATTTACAATTCGTTACTAGTACAGCACTAACCGGTTGTGTGTTGGAGAGTAAACCCACTACAACATTTACAATTCGTTACTAGTACAGCACTAACCGGTTGTGTGCTGGAGAGTTAAACCCACTACAACATTTACAATTTGTTACTAGTACAGCACTAACCGGTTGTGTGTTGGAGAGTAAACCCACTACAACATTTACAATTCGTTACTAGTACATCACTAACAGGTTGTGTGTTGGAGAGTAAATCCACTACAACATTTACAATTCGTTACTAGTACAGCACTAACCGGTTGTGTGTTGGAGAGTAAACCCACTACAACATTTACAATTTGTTACTAGTACAGCACTAACCGGTTGTGTGTTGGAGAGTAAACCCACTACAACATTTACAATTCGTTACTAGTACATCACTAACAGGTTGTGTGTTGGAGAGTAAACCCACTACAATATTTACAATTCGTTACTAGTACAGCACTAACCGGTTGTGTGCTGGAGAGTAAACCCACTACAACATTTACAATTCGTTACTAGTTCATCACTAACCGGTTGTGTGTTGGAGAGTAAACCCACTACAACATTTACAATTCGTTACTAGTACAGCACTAACAGGTTGTGTGTTGGAGAGTAAACCCACTACAACATTGACAATTCGTTACTAGTACATCACTAACCGGTTGTGTGCTGGAGAGTTAAACCCACTACAACATTTACAATTCGTTACTAGTACATCACTAACCGGTTGTGTGTTGGAGAGTAAACCCACTACAACATTGACAATTCGAGTAGCCGTGATGCTTCGCCAGTAATAATAACAAGAACCAGCTGAGCTCCCGGGTTCGTCATCCGCTCGTCCTGTGACCTGACCGCTCATCCCTCACCCCCCTCCCTCCCCCCGCCCCCTCCCTCCCCCCCCCGCCCCCTCCCTCCCCCCCTGCCCCCTCCCTTCCTCCCCCCCCTGCCCCCTCCCTCCCTCCCTCGTGAGTGGAGGGCTCTTGCACCAGCAGTGGCGGGGAGCAAATTGCAGGGCCCCACGCCTTCGCCCTGTGCGGCCGTGCGTTTGCGCGAGTGAAGGTGTGTCCATGTCCGTGTGTTTCCGTGCGAGTCTGTGCATTTATATGCGAGTCTGTGCGAGTGCGTGCGAGTCTGTGTGAGTCCGTGTGAGTTCGTGCGAGTCCGTGTGAGTTCGTGCGAGTCCGTGTGAGTCTGTGCATATCTGTGCGAGTCTGTGCGAGTGCGTGCAAGTCTGCGTGAGTCTGTGTGAGTCCGTGCGAGTCCGTGTGAGTCCGTGCGAGTCCGTGTGAGTCTGTATTTCTACGCGAGTCTGTGTGAGTCCGTGTGAGTCCGTGTGAGTCTGTGTGAGTCTGTGTGAGTCTGTGCATTTCTACGCGAGTCTGTGTGAGTCCGTTTGAGTCCGTGTGAATTCGTGCGAGTCCGTGCGAGTCTGTGTATTTCTATGCGAGTCTGTGTGAGTCCGTGTGAGTCCGTGTGAGTCTGTGTGAGTCTGTGCATTTCTACGCGAGTCTGTGTGAATCCGTGTGAGTCTGTGTGAGTCTGTGTGAGTCTGTGTGAGTCTGTGCATATCTATGCGAGTCTGTGCGAGTGCGTGCAAGTCTGCGTGAGTCTGTGTGAGTCCGTGCGAGTCCGTGTGAGTCCGTGCGAGTCCGTGTGAGTCTGTATTTCTACGCGAGTCTGTGTGAGTCCGTGTGAGTCCGTGTGAGTCTGTGTGAGTCTCTGTGAGTCTGTGCATTTCTACGCGAGTCTGTGTGAGTCCGTTTGAGTCCGTGTGAATTCGTGCGAGTCCGTGCGAGTCTGTGTATTTCTACGCGAGTCTGTGTGAGTCCGTGTGAGTCCGTGTGAGTCTGTTTGAGTCTGTGCATATCTATGCGAGTCTGTGCGAATTGCGTGTGAGTCTGTGTGAGTCCGTGTGAGTCCGTGCGAGTCCGTGCGAGTCCGTGTGAGTTCGTGCGAGTCCGTGTGAGTCTGTGCATATCTATGCGAGTCTGTGCGAGTGCGTGCGAGTCTGTATGAGTCCGCGCAAGTCTGTGTGAGTCCGTGCGAGTCCGTGCGAGTTCGTGTGAGTCCGTGTGAGTCCGTGCGAGTTCGTGCGAGCCCGTGTGAGTTCGTGCGAGTCCGTGCGAGTCCGTGCGAGCCCGTGTGAGTCCGTGTGAGTCCGTGTGAGTCTGTGTATTTCTAGGCGAGTCCGTGTGAGTCCGTGTGAGTCCGTGTGAGTCTGTGTATTTCTACGCGAGTCTGTGTGAGTCTGTGTGAGTCCGTGTGAGTCTGTGTATTTCTACGCGAGTCTGTGTGAGTCCGTGTGAGCCCGTGTGAGTCTGTGTGAGTCCGTGTGAGTCTGTGTATTTCTACGCGAGCCCGTGTGAGTCCGTGTGAGTCCGTGTGAGTCTGTGTATTTCTAGGCGAGTCCGTGCGAGGCCGTGCGTGCCGGGGTCGAGCCGGCTTCGCCGCCTACCGTTCGGCTCTTCTTGATCAGCCTCTGTCCGTTGAGCCGCAGGCGGCTGGCGTAGAAGGCGTCCTCGATGGCCCTGCGCCACACCGCAAGGGGAAGGGGCGCGACCTCGTGACCTCGGGGGGGGGGAGGGGAACTCGAGGGTGCGACGCTATGCAGCACTACGGAGCGACGTAACGCTACGGTGACGCTAGGTGACGCTAGGCGACGCTGGGTGACGCTAGGGTGACGTTAGGTGACGCTAGGCGACGCTAGGCGACGCTAGGTGACGCTAGGTGACGCTAGGTCACGCTAGGTGACGCTAGGTGACGCTAGGTGACGCTGGGTGACGCTAGGTGACGCTAGGTCACGCTAGGTGACGCTAGGTGACGCTGGGTGACGCTAGGTGACGCTAGGTGACGCTAGGTGACGCTAGGTGACGCTGGGTGACGCTAGGTGACGCTAGGTGACGCTAGGTCACGCTAGGTGACGCTGGGTGACGCTGGGTGACGCTAGGTGACGCTAGGCGACGTTACGGTGACGCTGGGTGACGCTAGGTCACGCTAGGTGACGCTAGGTGACGCTAGGTGACGCTAGGTGACGCTAGGTGACGCTAGGTGACGCTGGGTGACGCTAGGTCACGCTAGGTCACGCTAGGTCACGCTAGGTGACGCTAGGTGACGCTAGGTGACGCTGGGTGACGCTGGGTGACGTTACGGTGACGCTGGGTGACGCTAGGTGACGCTGGGTGACGCTAGGTGACACTAGGTGACGCTAAGTGACGCTAGGTGACGCTAGGTGACGCTAGGTGACGCTAGGCGACGCAGCGCTACGGTCACGCTAGGTGACGCTAGGTGACGCTAGGTGACGCTAGGTGACGCTAGGTGATGCTAGGTGACACTAGGTGACGCTAGGTGACGCTAGGTGACGCTAGGTGATGCTAGGTGACACTAGGTGACGCTAGGTGACGCTAGGTGACGCTAGGTGACGCTAGGTGACGCTAGGCGACGCAGTGCTACGGTCACGCTAGGTGACGCTAGGTGACGCTAGGTGACGCTAGGTGACGCTAGGTGATGCTAGGTGACACTAGGTGACGCTAGGTGACACTACGGTGACGCTGGGTGACGCTAGGTCACGCTAGGTGACGCTAGGTGACGCTAGGTGACGCTAGGTGACGCTAGGTCACGCTAGGTGACGCTAGGTGACGCTAGGTGACGCTAGGTGACGCTAGGTGACGCAGCGCTACGGTCACGCTAGGTGACGCTAGGTGATGCTAGGTGACGCTACAGTGACGCTAGGTGACGCTAAAGTGACGCTAGGTGACGCTAGGTGACGCTAGGCGACGCTAGGCGACGCTAGGTGACGCTAGGTGACGCTAGGTGACGCTAGGTGACGCTAGGTGACGCTAGGCGACGCTAGGCGACGCTAGGTGACGCTACGGTGACACTAGGCGACGCTAGGTGACGCTAGGTGACGCTAGGTGACGCTGGGTGACGCTAGGCGACGCTGGGTGACGCTAGGCGACGCTAGGTGACGCTAGGCGACGCTAGGTGACGCTAGGCGACGCTAGGTGACACTAGGTGACGCTAGGTGACGCTAGGTGACGCTAGGTGACGCTACAGTCACGCTAGGCGACGCTAGGCGACGCTAGGTGACGCTAGGTGACGCTGGGTGAAGCTGGGTGACGCTAGGTGACGCTACAGTCACGCTAGGCGATGCTAGGCGACGCTAGGCGACGCTAGGTGACGCTAGGTGACGCTAGGTGACGCTAGGTGACGCTAGGTGACACTAGGTGACGCTAGGTGACGCTAGGCGACGCTAGGTGACGCTAGGTGACGCTAGGCGACGCTAGGTGATGCTAGGTGACGCTAGGTGACGCTAGGTGACGCTAGGTGACGCTAGACGACGCTAGGTGACACTAGGTGACGCTAGGTGACGCTAGGTGACGCTAGGTGACGCTGGGTGACGCTAGGTGACGCTAGGTGACGCTACAGTCACGCTAGGCGATGCTAGGCGACGCTAGGCGACGCTAGGTGACACTAGGTGACGCTAGGTGACGCTAGGTGACGCTAGCTGACGCTAGGCGACGCTAGGTGACACTAGGTGACGCTAGGTGACGCTAGGTGATGCTGGGCGACGCTGGGCGACGCTAGGTGACGCTAGGTGACGCTAGGTGACGCTACGGTCACGCTAGGCGACGCTAGGCGACGCTAGGCGACGCTAGGCGACGCTAGGTGACGCTAGGTGACGTTACGGTGACGCTAAGTGACGCTAGGTGACGCTAGGTGACGCTACGTGACGCTAGGCGACGCTAGGCGACGCTAGGCGACGCTAGGTGACGCTAGGTGACGCTAGGTGACGCTAGGTGACGTTACGGTGACGCTAAGTGACGCTAGGTGACGCTAGGTGACGCTACGTGACGCTAGGTGATGCTAGGTGATGCTAGGTGACGCTAGGTGACGCTAGGTGACGCTAGGTGACGCTGGGTGACGCTGGGTGACGCTAGGTGACGTTACGGTGACGCTAAGTGACGCTAGGTGACGCTAGGTGACGCTAGGCGACGCTAGGTGACGCTAGGTGACGCTACGTGACGCTAGGCGACGCCAGGTGACGCTAGGTGACGCTACGTGACGCTAGGCGACGCTAGGCGACGCTAGGTGACGCTAGGTGACGCTAGGTGACGCTAGGTGACGTTACGGTGACGCTAAGTGACGCTAGGTGACGCTAGGTGACGCTGGGTGACGCTAGGTGACGCTAGGTGACGCTAGGTGACGCTGGGTGACGCTAGGTGACGCTAGGTGACGTTACGGTGACGCTAGGTGACGCTAGGTGACGCTACGGTGACGCTAGGTGACGCTAGGTGACGCTAGGTGACGCTACGGTGACGCTAGGTGACGCTAGGTGACGCTAGGTGACGCTAGGTGACGCTACAGTGAAGCTAGGTGACGCTAGGTGACGCTACACTAAGGTGATGCGAGCCGTCCGTCCGAATCGCTTGTCACAACGCACGCTGATTGGTGCACGTGGGGGAGGGGGGTGGGGGGAAGAGGCGAGACCGACCTATGGCGTCGACGTAGCCAAGCGTTGCGAACGGGAACGAGGGTTCGTCATCGTCGTTTGTCGCGAACGACACGGGCGAGGTGGAATGAGGTGTGCAACACGAATAAACGAGATGGAGCAGGCCGACGACGTGACAGTGAGAACGTACCGGACGGCACAAACGTAATGGACGACGCAGACATCACGGACGACGCAGACATCACGGACGACGCAAGCGTACCAGAAAGCGCGCACGAGACGGAAGACATCAGACAGTGCACACATGCAGTGATGAGCACGCTCGCAATGACGACGATGACAACGTGCGTACGGAGAACTTCTTTCGCACCCTACGTGATAGCCAACCGTGATAATCGTGAGGCGCTGATGACCATGATGTGCTTCTCACTTGTTTGAGATGTCCAGGCCGGCCTTCATGACGAGGTCAAATCGGAAGGAAGCCACCGTCTTTTCAAGGTCCTTGTAGTCCTTCACGACACCTTCCTGCGTCACGAACGGAGCCTCCTCCTCCTCCTCATCCTCCTCGCCAGGCTGCTCCTGCAGAACGACGAGCGGCAGGGTCTCACCGCGGTGACCACGGCCTCCCCGTTTTTGTCGCGACGAAAAAGGGACGATGGAATAACCGGCCCTGAGATCTCTCCCAAAGCTCCGCCATCCCCCATCCAACTGCGCTGTCGACTCCCCGCTCCCCAAATCGGCTCCAGACCTTCACTGCGCCCTCCCCGACAGAAAACTACCCCACACGTGCCTCGACTAAATATCCCACGAGCCGCCCCCGAGCGTAATTCCGCGCCGCCGTCTGGAGCATGGCGGTCGCCTCCCAAGGCGCGCCTCTCGTAAACGCGGCGCGGCCGTCGTTTCTTCGCGACCGCTTGCCCGTCGCGACGGAATAAAATGGAGGGTGGAATCATCGACTCCCCCGCTTTTGACCCCGTCGCTCTCCGTCCCCCACCGCCCCTCCATTGACACCCAGCGCTGTCAACTCCCTGCTCCCATTCAGCTCCGGCGGTCAAAAGAGACCCTCCGCTCTTCGTCCGAACTCCCTCCCTTCTCTTGCCAGATGTCAAAACGCAGCCTCCCTCGAAAGTAACATCCTCCCGTCTCACCTTTCGCGCGGCCGCGATTCGCAGGCCTGAGCTTTTGAAATGATCATGGACACACACGCGCCCGCTCGCCTCGTCGCTCCCTAACACTCGCCTCGTCGCTCCGACCCGCTCGCCTCGTCGCTCCGTCCCGCTCGCCTCGTCGCTCCGTCCCGCTCGCCTCGTCACTCCCTCCTGTTCACCTCGTCGCTCCCTAACACTCGCCTCGCCGCTCCGTCCCGCTCGCCTCGTCGCTCCGTCCCGCTCGCCTCGTCGCTCCCTCCAGCTCGCCGCTTCCTCCTGTTCACCTCGTCGCTCCCTAACACTCGCCTCGCCGCTCCGTCCCGCTCGCCTCGTCGCTCCGTCCCGCTCGCCTCGTCGCTCCCTCCCGCTCACCTCGTTGCTGTCATCTTCCTCCGGACGAGCGTCCTTGCCGTGTCCCTTCCGCCCACGCCGGTACGAGGAGCCACCGCCGCCCCCCTGCGTTGCCGTGGAGAGGCCTCGCGACCACGGCGACCGCAAAGGGGGGCCGAGGTCGCGGGGTCGCGCGTGGTTCACGACCCCCGCAGGGGTGCCCCAGTGGCCCCCCCTCCACCACCGCCGCCGCCGCTGTTGCCCCTGGGCCTACAACAGGCGAAGGGCACGGGGGTGAATCAAAGAGACGAGAGGAAGCAATGGGAGGCAAATCTGCGAAGGATCGACCAAGGGGGCCTCTCTTTCTTGCCGTTCGCCGATTTGAGCCAGGGCGACGGGGGGGGGGGGGACGGGGGAGAACGCAGAGCGAAAAACGAACGCCCGGACACGCGCCACCACCACCACCACAGTGGCGGTGGTGGCGGTGATGTAGGCTGCACTGAGCGGTCTTCACCACCACCACCATCGCAACCACAAAGGTGGCGCTGACGTACATGCGGGACGATGGTGGTGGCGGTGATGAAGGCCGCACCGAGCGGCTGCACCCCGAGGGGAGATCTCCAGGCCTGGGCGCAGGCGCGGGGAGCCAGGGCGGAGGCCAAGCGGGAAACCGGCACCACCAGCATGAGGGCTACGGCAGAGCTGCCTACACCTGCACGGAAACACACAGCAAGTCGACACACACAGCAAGTCAACACTTCAAGCCGACACACACAGCAAGTCAATGCAGCTTGCCAACACAGTGCACCAACACAGCGCATCATCAACACACAGCAAGGCAACACACACAGAAAGTCAAGACAGCAAGTCAATGCAGCTTGGCAACACGCACAGCACGTCGACACGCATAGAGACCCATGGACTCATGTAGAGGCCCAGACTCACGCAGACCCATAGACACACATAGAGACCCATGGACTTGAATATAGACCCATAGACTCGCACAGAGACTCACAGACTCACAGAGACTCAGAGATTCACACAGAGACCCATATACTTACACAGAGACCCATAGACTCACAGAGAGACTCATTGACTCATATAGAAACCCATAGACATACAGAAAGACCCATGGACTCACGCAGAGACCCATAGACTCACACATAGACCCCGTAGACTCACACAGAGACCCATAAACAACGTAGAGACCCCATCGACTCACGTAGAGACCCCATACTCACGTAGAGAGTCTGCGAGACCCACAGACTTAGAGAGTCATGTCTTGTTTAAATTCGCTCACCTGTTTAAGGCCGTCACATAAGAGGCCTATGGACGTGCATGGATCCACTGGGTAAGTGACTATGTGAGTCTATGTATATACAGTACGTTGAACTTATTTCGCCACGTACGTAGCCAACCGTGCTAATCGGAGGATGGATGAGTGTGTGGGTGAGTAACTATGTGAGTGGGTGAGTGACTATGTGAGTGGGTGAGTGACTATGTGAGTGGGTGAGTGACTATGTGAGTGGGTGAGTGACTATGTGAGTGGGTGAGTGGCTATGTGAGTGGGTGAATGACTATGTGAGTGGGTGAGTGACTATGTGAGTGGGTGAGTGACTACTCTAGATTTAAAGCTTTCGTGACTGCTAGGATCCATACTCTTTGGTTCTATTGGGTAAAGTCACGTAGGTGAAAATAAAATAACAAAAAATCACGACGTTTCGGCCACAACACAAGCGGCCTTCATCAGGTGAAGGGACGAGACTGTCTGGAGGACAGCGCTGGAGTGGGAGAAGCCACGCTTAGATCACGACCTTTAAGCTCACCTGATGAAGGCCGCTTGTGTTGTGGCCGAAACGTCGTGATTTTTTGTTATTTTATTTTCACCTACGTGACTTTACCCAATAGAACCAAAGAGTATGGGTGAATGACTGTGTGAGTGACTGTGTGAGTGACTATGTGAGTGGGTGAGTGACTATGTGAGTGGGTGAGTGACTGTGTGAGTGGGTGAGTGAGTGACTATGTGAGTGGGTGAGTGACTGTGTGTGGGTGAGTGACTGTGTGAGTGGGTGAGTGACTATGTGAGTAGGTGAGTGACTGTGTGAGTGACTGTGTGAATGACTATGTGAGTTACTATGTGAGTGGGTGAGTGACTGTGAGTGACTATGTGAGTGGGTGAGTGACTATGTGAGTGGGTGAGTGACTGTGTGAGTGGGTGAGTGAGTGACTATGTGAGTGGGTGAGTGACTATGTGTGTAGGTGAGTGACTATGTGAGTGGGTGAGTGACTGTGTGAGTGAGTGACTGTGTGAGTGGGTGAGTGAGTGACTATGTGAGTGGGTGAGTGACTGTGCGAGTGGGTGAGTGACTGTGTGAGTGACTACGCGAGTGACTATGCGAGTCCGGCAGAATGTTCCAGACGGCCGGCAGAAGGGCGTCCGAACGCACGCGGCGACCGCCGTCTTTGTTCCACGGCGTCAGCCAGAAGCCGCCGCTCGCTCTACAGCCGCGTGGGTCGGGGTGTGTACTTGGCCTACTCCTCCTCCACTCCTCCACGCAGCGGCGCACACTCACCCCGGGTGAACTTGAGCGGCGAGGCGGGCGAGGCGAGGGCGAGGCGAGGCTCCGTTGGGGCCCGCGGGCCTGAAGGTCGCCCGACTTGGGTGACGTGAGGAGTGTTGTTACCCCGACACCCGCGTGTGTGTGTGTGTGTCGCGCGTTGTTGTCGTGGTTGTTGTTGTTGTTGTCGTGGTTGTTGCTGTGAATGTTGTTTTGTTGCAGTTGTTGTTGTGGTTGTTGCTGTTGTTGTGGTTGTTGTGGTGGTGCTTGTCGTGGTTGTTTATGTGGTTGTTGCTACTGCTGCTGTTGTTGTGGTTGCTGCAGTGTGGTTGTGGTTGTTGCAGCAGTGTGGTTGTTGTTGCTGCTGCTGTTGTTGTTGTGGTTGCTGCTGCTGTTGTTGCTGTTGTTGTGGTTGCTGTTGTTGTGGTTGCTGTTGTTTTGGTTGCTGTTGTTGTTGCTGTTGTTGTGGTTGTTGTTGTTGCTGTGGTTGTTGTTGCTGTTGTTGTGGTTGCTGTTGTTGCTGCTGTTGTTGTGGTTGCTGTTGTGGTTGCTGTTGTTGTTGCTGTGGTTGTTGCGGTGCTTGACGCGAGCCTCGGCAAATTTCCCAGCAGCTCCCCTCCCCGCGACCCGAATCGCAACGCGATTCCAACTAGGATCGCGGCTCGATTCTACAGTCGATTCACACCCCCTTCCTCCCCCACGACGATAGGAACCGAGATGTAAATTGATACCTCTTCGATTCGATAATCTAGTTTCGATTCTAAAGCCCTCCGACAACCGCGCTTGGCCAACGGCGCGCGATCCGTGATTGTCGATTACACGCAATCGATTCTTCAAACGTCCCCGTGTTCAACGTTATGTGCTCGTGCCGCGCTAATTAATTTTTTTTTTAAATAAAAAAAATTACATCAAACCCCTGGGCCGATGGTGCTGCGTTGGCAGCGATGAACAAACAAACAATTCAACACTTTCGTCAATAAAATCGCGTGTGGCCTCAACGAAAGTAAAATGTAAATGATGGGGCTTATTAAATTTTGATTTAAAGCTTTCGTGACTGCAGTAATTCATATTCTTAGTTTTTTCGGTAAAGTCACGTTGAAGAGAAACAACAAAATAACAAAATATATATAAAACAATAAAAATTCTCACGACGTTTCGACCATAACTCAAACGGTCATCATCAGGTGTGTCGGTTTGCATAAATTTATTTTGAAAACGGCATATTTATTTATTTATATATAAATAACGTTTGCGTCACGCGCAACGATTGGCTGTTTGCCAGGACTAGTCCATCTATTTTTTGAAAAGAGGAGGGGGGAGACGAAATTTGTTTTTATGTATGCTGTCTGAAAGCCACTGTAAGCGTGAACAATCAATCAAGAACTGAAATGATTTATCAAATCTTTCCAATGATTGCTAAGATAGAATCCATCGTCTCGGTTGAAATTGTCTCTGTGTTTGTATATGTGGATAGCCTCATGAACGAATCTCTCATGGAAGCCAGATGGCTTACAAAGAACCTCCGTCTTGGAAAAGTCAATGGCATGTGAGCCTACTGAATTAGAACAATGATCTGCTACGGCCGAGGTGTTGGTCCTACCGTGTTTAAGGTCTGCTTTATGTTCACGAATGCGGTCCGAGATATGGCGTTTGGTTTCTCCAATGTAACTACTACCACAGAGGCAACTTAGTTTGTAGACACCAGGGTATTGTATGTCCGGAATCACATCTTTTACAGACGGAACCAGATCACGGATTTTATGTAATGTGTTGAAACGGACCTGGATCTTGTGTTTATTCAAGATTTTGGAGATCTTTTTTGTGATCCCAGCAATGTAGGGTAAAGTGATGGTTTTGAAAGGCTCCTCAAGAGGGTTCTTCTTCATGGTTTGAGTGATAGCTTTGCGGATTGTATAGTCGGAGTAACCATTAGCCCTAAGAGCTTGGTGTACGTGCTTGAGTTCACTGCTTATGTGTTCCTGGTCGGATATGCATTGGGCTCTATGATACAGAGTCTTGATGAGATAATTCTTCTGTGATGGATGGTGGTGGGAATCCGGTTTCAGATAAGCATCCGTATGGGTAGCTTTCCTGTAGACAGAGTGGCTCATTGAACCATCAGGTCTCTTTTTAATTAGGACATCCAAAAAAGGTATCTTGCCATCTATTTCGACTTCCATGGTAAATCGCAGCTGTCTCTCTCCCCCTCCTCTGTTCCGACCATGGACGAACTCGTCCGTCTGAACGGGGCCCGTAGCTATCCGTGGTGCTAAAGTTGAGGGCGCTTTGTTCCTCTCACACAGCTTAAAGGCCGTGATCTGAACGTGGCTCTTTCACTCCAGCGCTGTCCTACCAGACAGTCTCGTCCCTTCACCTGATGAAGGCCGCTTGTGTTGTGGCCGAAACGTCGTGAGAATATTATTGTGTTATTTTATCAATTTATTATTTTATTCTCATTCTACGTGACTTTACCGAAAGAACCAAAGAAGATGAATCATTGCAGTCACGAAAGCTTTAAATCGAAATGTTGGTGACGTCACCACGCGCACACCAACGTGGTGAGGTGACGTCACCACGACTGCGATCGGCGACCTCAGAGTGCGTGGTGACGTCACGCACAGGGTGAACAATGACGTCACGTAGCGTGCGTTTGAATGCCGTCACAACTGCATTTGCTGCCTGGCGTCGGCGGTTACGTCACGACAACTTCGATCGCCAGCCCAGCGTACGCTGTGACGTCCGTTTTTGGGGGGGGGGGGGTTACAGTTTAATTTATTTTGGTATAGCCCTGTGAGCCATTCGGCTCTTGAATCGGGTGCAACCACAACAAACAAAAAAACACGAACAAGAAAAACATCTTAAAGTGACTTTGTGTGACTGTGCAAACAGAAAATCTAGGGGGGAAAAAAAACAACAAAAATATTCCTGAAATAGCACCGTACACCAACGCTGTGTGCAAAATAATCCCAGTGGGATGCAAGTCAAACAACAACAACAACCACAAGACAACTTAGATTAAGGCCATCAGTCTAACTCCGTACTACAATAAACAAAAACACGGCCAAACCAAAAAACTTTTCGAAATCACCAAAATAAAGCCATAAATGCAATGTAACAGTGATCATAGGAACTGTGACCGAATTTTTAATAATGAACTACGTAAATAACATGGGGGGGGTTTCAGTTTTTTTCAGTTTAATTTATTTTGGTATAGCCCTGTGAGCCATTCGGCTCTTGAATCGGGTGCAACCACAACAAACAAAAAAACTAAAACATGAACAAGAAAAACATCTTAAAGTGACTTTGTGTGACTGTTAAAAACAGAAAATCCATGGGAAAAAAACCCGCAAAAATATTCCTGAAAAAAGCACCGTACACCAACGCTGTGGGATGCAAGTCAAACAACAACAACAAGAAATTTAGATTAAGGCCATCAGTCTAACTCCGTACTACAACAAAACAAACATGTCCAAACCAAAAAACGTTTTCAAAATCGCCAAAAAATAAAGCCATAATTGCAACGTAACAGTGGTCACAAGGACTGTGACCGAATTGTTTTACAATAAACTACATAAATAGCATGTAACACCAAATCTTAGAGCCATAGCTGGCTGCATGAGTTACTCCACAACAACAGAAGCATCGGTCGGAGTATCAAATTTTTCAATGCACCTTTAAGATCAGCACGCTAAATCAAAATACAGATAATACTTTGCAGCGTCATCCAGAGCGAAACATTTTATTTTATTTTACGCCAATGAATAGCAGTGGCAGCTAGGGGTGTACAACTCCTCTAGAGCAGTTTTGAGATAAGATCTCATTGGTCGCGATTCAAGTTGCAGTTTATTGGCAATAGCATTCCAGACCCTGGGGGCATCAATAACAAAGGCCCTTCCTCCAGTTTTTGTACGGCAAATAGGGAATGTGAAGCTGGTAAATGAGCGAAGACCTGAGGTCAAATTTGTTCTTTGAAACAGAGAGGAGATCCAGCAGCAGGTAAGTCTGCGGATTTTTTTGTAAGTACATCGTGAATAAATAAGATCTGGTGCACAAGCCGTCTGTCGGGGTACGTGCTGACGTCACAACAACTGCGATCGCCAATCCCCAGCGTACGCGGTGACGTCAGTGGGGGGGGTAGAGGGGAGGGTGGGGACGTCATAACTACTGCGATTCCACAGCCCCCCCCCCTCTCCGCCACGCGGTGACGTCCCCTGCGGAGGCTGGTGAGGGGGAGGCGTGTACGCGGTGACGTCACGACCACCGCGTTTGCCCCTCCCGTACGCGTTGACGTCACGGCGTACGCCCGTTACCAAGGGCGACGGAGATGGCGGCGCGCGTTTTCGCGACGCTGATGGCGGCGCCCAGGAGCTGTGGCGGGCACCCCGCGGCCTCCTCCTTCCCCCCCTTCCCCTCCTCCTCCTCCTGCCCCACGTCGCCGCCGTCTCGCGGCCGCGAGGTGCGCGTCGTGGGCCGCGCCGAGCTGCGCGGGGCCCCGGACCGCGCGAGGCTGAGCGTGAGGGTGAGGAGCGCGGCCAAGAGGGAGGCGAGGAGCGCCGAGCGGAGCGCCGTGAGGAGGGCCGAGTACGCGGAGAGCAGCGTGAGGCGGGCCCGCGGAGTCCAGGTGACTGTCTCTGTGTGTCTCACTGTGTCTCTGTGTCTCTGTGTGTCTCTCTGTGTCTCTGTGTGTCTCACTGTGTCTCTGTCTCACTGTGTGTCTCACTGTGTCTCCGTGTCTCTGTGTGTCTCACTGTGTCTCTGTGTGTCTCACTGTGTCACCGTGTCTCTGTGTGTCTCACTGTGTCTCTGAGTGTCTCTGTGTGTCTCACTGTGTCTCTGTGTCTCTGTGTGTCTCACTGTGTCTCTGTGTGTCTCACTGTGTCTCACCGTGTCTCACCGTGTCTCTGTGTGTCTCTGTGTCTCACTGTGTCTCTGTGTGTCTCACCGTGTCTCACTGTGTGTCTCACTGTGTCTCTGTCTCACTGTGTGTCTCACTGTGTCTCCGTGTCTCTGTGTGTCTCACTGTGTCTCTGTGTGTCTCACTGTGTCTCCGTGTCTCTGTGTGTCTCACTGTGTCTCTGTGTGTCTCACCGTGTCTCACTGTGTCTCTGTGTGTCTCACTGTGTCCCTGTGTCTCTGTGTGTCTCTGTGTGTCTCACTGTGTCTCCGTGTCTCTGTGTGTCTCACTGTGTCTCTGAGTGTCTCTGTGTGTCTCACTGTGTCTCTGTGTCTCTGTGTGTCTCACTGTGTCTCTGTGTGTCTCACTGTGTCACCGTGTCTCTGTGTGTCTCACTGTGTCTCTGAGTGTCTCTGTGTGTCTCACTGTGTCTCTGTGTCTCTGTGTGTCTCACTGTGTCTCTGTGTGTCTCACTGTGTGTCTCACTGTGTCTCTGTGTCTCTGTGTGTCTCACTGTGTCTCTGTGTGTCTCACCGTGTCTCTGTGTGTCTCACCGTGTGTCTCTGTGTGTCTCACCGTGTCTCACCGTGTCTCTGTGTGTCTCACCGTGTGTCTCACCGTGTGTCTCACTGTGTGTCTCACTGTGTGTCTCACTGTGTCTCTGTGTGTCTCTGTGTCTCTGTGTGTCTCACTGTGTCTCTGTGTGTCTCACTGTGTCTCTGTGTGTCTCACTGTGTGTCTCACTGTGTCTCTGTGTGTCTCACTGTGTCTCTGTGTCTCTGTGTGTCTCTGTGTGTCTCACTGTGTCTCTGTGTGTCTCACTGTGTCTCTGTGTGTCTCTGTGTGTCTCACTGTGTCTCTGTGTGTCTCACTGTGTCTCTGTGTGTCTCTGTGTCTCACCGTGTCTCACTGTGTCTCTGTGTGTCTCACTGTGTCTCTGTGTCTGTGTCTCACTGTGTCTCACCGTGTCTCTGTGTATCTCACTGTCTCACTTTGTCTCTGTGTGTCTCTGTGTGTCTCACTGTGTCTCACCGTGTCTCTGTGTGTCTCACTGTGTGTCTGTGTCTCACTGTGTCTCACCGTGTCTCTGTGTGTCTCACTGTGTCTCACTGTGTCTCTGTGTGACTCACTGTGTCTCTGTGTGTCTCACTGTGTCTCTGTGTGTCTCTGTCTCTGTGTGTCTCACTGTGTCTCTGTCTCTGTGTCTCACCGTGTCTCTGTGTGTCACCGTGTCTCTGTGTGTCTCACCGTGTCTCACCGTGTCTCTGTGTGTCTCACTGTCTCACTTTGTCTCTGTGTGTCTCTGTCTCTGTGTGTCTCACTGTGTCTCTGTCTCTGTGTCTGACCGTGTCTCTGTGTGTCACCGTGTCTCTGTGTGTCTCACCGTGTCTCACCGTGTCTCTGTGTGTCTCTGTGTGTCTCACTGTCTCACTTTGTCTCTGTGTGTCTCTGTCTCTGTCTCTGTGTGTCTCACTGTGTCTCACTGTGTCTCACTGTGTGTCTCACTGTGTCTCTGTCTCTGTGTCTCACCGTGTCTCTGTGTGTCACCGTGTCTCTGTGTGTCTCTGTGTGTCTCTCTCACCGTGTCTCTGTGTGTCTCACCGTGTCTCTGTGTTACTGTCTCACTTTGTCTCTGTGTCTCTGTCTCTGTGTCTCACTGTGTCTCTGTGTGTCTCACTGTGTCTCTGTCTCTGTGTCTCACCGTGTCTCTGTCTGTCTCACTGTGTCTCTGTGTGTCTCACCGTGCCTCTGTGTGACTCTGTGTGTCTCACCGTGTCTCTGTGTGTCTCACTGTGTCTCTGTGTTTCTCACTGTGTGTCTCACTGTGTCTCTGTCTCACTGTGTGTCTCACTGTGTGTCTCACTGTGTGTCTCTGTGTGTCTCTGTCTCTCACCGTGTCTCTGTGTGTCTCACTGTGTGTCTCACTGTGTCTCTGTCTCTGTGTCTCACTGTGTCTCTGTGTGTCTCACTGTGTCTCTGTCTGTCTCACTGTGTCTCTGTGTGTCTCACCGTGTCTCTGTCTGTCTCACTGTGTCTCTGTGTGTCTCACCGTGTCTCTGTCTCTGTGTCTCACTGTGTCTCTGTGTGTCTCACTGTGTCTCTGCCTCTCACCGTGTCTCTGTGTGTCTCTGTGTGTCTCACTGTGTCTCTGTGTGTCTCTGTGTGTCTCACTGTGTGTCTCACCGTGTCTCTGTGTGTCTCACCGTGTCTCTGTGTGTCTCTGTGTGACTCTGTGTGTCTCACTGTGTCTCTGTGTGGCTCTGTGTGTCTCACTGTGTGTCTCACCGTGTCTCTGTGTGTCTCACCGTGTCTCTGTGTGTCTCTGTGTGACTCTGTGTGTCTCACTGTGTCTCTTTGTGTCTCTGTGTGTCTCACTGTGTCTCTGTGTGTCTCTGTGTGTCTCACTGTGTCTCTGTGTGTCTCTGTGTGTCTCTGTCTCTGTGTCTCACCGTATCTCTGTGTGACTCTGTGTGTCTCACTGTGTCTCTGTGTGTCTCACTTTGTCTCTGTGTGTCTCTGTGTGTCTCACTTTGTCTCTGTGTGTCTCTGTTTGTCTCACTATGTCTCTGCCTCTGTGTGTCTCACTGTGTCTCTGTCTCACCGTGTATCTGTCTGTCTCACCGTGTATCTATCTGTCTCACTGTGTCTCTGTCTCACCGTGTCTCTGTGTGTCTCACCGTGTCTCTGTGTGTCTCACTGTGTCTCTGTGTGTCTCACCGTGTCTCTGTGTGTCTCATTGTGTCTCTGTGTGTCTCTGTCTCTGTGTGTCTCACTATGTCTCTGTCTGTCTCACCGTGTCTCTGTGTGTCTCACCGTGTCTCTGTGTGTCTCACCGTGTCTCTGTGTGTCTCACTGTCACTGTCTGTCTCAGTGTGTCTCTCTGTGTGTGCCACCATGTGTCTGTCACTGTCTCTCTATATCTGTCACTGTCTCTCTATCTGTCACTGTCTCTCTATCTATCACTGTCTCTCTATCTGTCACTGTCTCTCTATCTGTCACTGTCTCTCTATCTGTCACTGTCTCTCTATCTGTCACTGTCTCTCTATCTGTCACTGTCTCTCTATCTGTCACTGTCTCTCTGTCTGTCACTGTCTCTCTGTCTGTCACTGTCTTTGTGAGGGGAGCAGGGAAGGGAGCAGAGTGGAGAGTGGAGGGGGTAGGGGAGCGGGGCGGGGAGCGGGGGGGGAGCGGGGAGGGGAGCGGAGGGGGGAGCGGGGGGGGGGAGCGGAGGGGGAGGGGAGCGGGGAGGGAAGCGGAGGGGGGAGCGGGGGGGGGCAGAGGGGGGAGCGGGGGTTGCGTTTCCCGCAGAGCAGTGGGCTGCACGCTCCAACCCACCCCGCCAGCGAGGGGAATGCGTCGTGGTGGTGGTAGTGGTGGTGGTGGTAGTGGTGGTGGGGGTGGTGGTGGTGGTGGTAGTGGTGGTGGCGTCGTCGCGTGTTCGTGGGCCCCTCGTGTTGTGCAGTTTGTACTTTTTAAAAACTTTTTATTTATTTTTGAGTGACTTTGCGTCACCTTTTCTCGAGACCGCACTCAGATCGTCTTTTATTGTTGTTGTTGTCGATGTAACTCGCTGTACCCCCTCGTGTGCCCCCGACCGGACATCTGTTGGGATAAAAAAAACAAAACAAAAGAGATTTACAGCTCATCAGATTCCTCCCTGCAGTTCCAAATAAAGATTCCGATTCTGTTCACCTGGCTGTGCAGGACGCTGATGTCACTGTGCTCAAGAGCCTGGACCGCCTCGACGGCCTCTACGTCATGACAGTGGAGGTGCCGCTGCTGCTGCTGCTGAGCACACGTGTGTCAGAGAGATCGTGTGTCACAGATAGTGTGTCAGAGATCGTGTGTCAGAGAGATCGTGTGTCACAGAGATCGTGTGTCAGAGATCGTGTGTCAGAGATTGTGTGTCACAGAGATCGTGTGTCAGAGATTGTGTGTCACAGAGATTGTGTCACAGAGATCGTGTGTCAGAGAGATCGTGTGTCACAGATAGTGTGTCAGAGATCGTGTGTCAGAGAGATCGTGTGTCACAGAGATCGTGTGTCAGAGATCGTGTGTCAGAGATTGTGTGTCACAGAGATTGTGTGTCACAGAGATTGTGTGTCACAGAGATTGTGTGTCAGAGAGATCGTGTGTCAGAGATCGTGTGTCAGAGAGATCGTGTGTCACAGAGATCGTGTGCCACAGAGATCGTGTGTCACAGATCGTGTGTCAGAGATCGTGTGTCAGAGATCGTGTGTCAGAGATTGTGTGTCACAGAGATTGTGTCACAGAGATCGTGTGTCAGAGAGATCGTGTGTCACAGATCGTGTGTCAGAGATCGTGTGTCAGAGAGATCGTGTGTCACAGAGATCGTGTGTCAGAGATCGTGTGTCAGAGATCGTGTGTCAGAGATCGTGTGTCACAGAGATTGTGTGTCACAGAGATTGTGTGTCACAGAGATCGTGTGTCAGAGAGATCGTGTGTCAGAGATCGTGTGTCAGAGAGATCGTGTGTCAGAGATCGTGTGTCAGAGATTGTGTGTCACAGAGATTGTGTGTCACAGAGATCGTGTGTCAGAGAGATCGTGTGTCAGAGATCGTGTGTCAGAGAGATCGTGTGTCAGAGATCGTGTGTCACAGAGATCGTGTGCCACAGAGATCGTGTGTCAGAGATCGTGTGCCACAGAGATCGTGTGCCACAGAGATCGTGTGTCAGAGATCGTGTGCCACAGAGATCGTGTGCCACAGAGATCGTGTGCCACAGAGATCGTGTGCCACAGAGATCGTGTGCCACAGAGATCGTGTGTCACAGAGATCGTGTGCGAGCACATGTTCACGTGTCAGGTGCGTCTTTGTGTTGGCTGGGTCATGTAGCCCGCATGCCCCGTCACCCGCATGCTCAAGCAGCTTCTGTTTGGCTTGATAGTTGGGCTGAACGGGCGCGGGAAGAGCCAGAGAAGAGATGGAGCTGATGTCGTACTGCAGGAGGATATGGAGCTGAGTGGATTTGCCGATGACCAGTACCGGCGGTGTCAAGATCGGTCTCCGTGGAGGAGGCTCGTGAAGGACGCCGATGGGAAGTTGGGAGGCAGTCGCCCTCCAACAACAGCAGAGGGCAGAGGAGCGACGCTCACAACGAGCGGAGCGCCGGGCCGGTTAAACGCAGCAAGTTGGCACAGCAGGGGGCACAGGTGGTGCATCTGCCTGTCGTCTCAGTTCAACCCATGGCACCTGGGTCTGTTCCGTGACCTGCCAGCGGACCTTATCAACTTCACGTGGCCTCAAAGTGCACCTAGCTTGGTGCAAGAGTCGTGGTGACGTCACCACCACTTAGTGGCGAACAGCGGTTGTTGTTGTTGTGTGTAGCACCACGTGTTTAGCGGGGAGTGGCGGCGCGCTGCACTACGGACCCAGCTCACGGCCAATAACAGTGGCGAATATCTGAAGCGGTCCTGGGCCTCCCCTATGCCGACTCAGCCTCAAATGAGCACAGGCAGACTTCGCTTAGCGCTCGAGATGCGTTCACGGAGAAGTGAGCGCTCATCGAATCGGTGTGCTGAAAGGGGTCGTTATGTCATTGCATGTGTGGGGGATGTCTTCCCTACAGTGCTATTCGTCTGTGTCTACGTTGATAGGGGGATAGGTGAGTGTGTGTGTGAGTGACTATGTGAGTGGGTGAGTGACTGTGTGAGTCTCTGTGTGTATGTTTAACTTCTTTAGCACCGTACGTAGCCAACCTTCCCATGTGGAGGATGGGTGAGTGTGTGTGTGAGTGACTATGTGAGTGTGTGAGTGACTGTGTGAGTCTCTGTGTGTATGTTTAACTTCTTTAGCACCGTACGTAGCCAACCTTCCCATGAAGAGGATGGGTGAGTGTATGCGTGAGTGACTATGTGAGTGGGTGAGTGACTGTGTGAGTCTCTGTGTGTATGTTGAACTTCTTTAGCACCGTACGTAGCCAACCTTCCCATGAAGAGGATGGGTGAGTGTATGCGTGAGTGACTATGTGAGTGGATGAGTGACTATGTGAGTGGGTGAGTGACTGTGTGAGTCTATGTGCGTATGTTGAACTTCTTTTGCACTGTACGTAGCCAACCGCGCAAATTGGAGCTGCGGTGTTTGATGGGACAACAAACTAAACACACAAAATGAACAAATTAGTTTTCAATCTAGATTTCTTACGTATGAGCAATGTATGAGGGCTTGATTGGGCTATCGGTAATAGCACTAACAATAATAATGCAGATGGTGAAGACTATTTTACTAAAAAAAAATCTATTTTTTTTCATTCACAAAGAATGTTTTCTGGGTTAGATCGCGTAAGTATAAATGTGTCGTGAACCTCCACCGCCCGACGCGGCCAGTAAGGTTGAGTCACATTAAACAAAACGTGCCAATTACAGATAGTCCCCGAGTTACGATAGTCCCCGAGTTACGATAGTCCCCCAGTTACGATAGTCCCCGAGTTACGATAGTCCCCGAGTTACGATATTTCGATTTTACGATGGCGATAGCAATACGACAAAATTGTAAAATATTTTACATTTCGCGCGGCAGGCACACGCAGCAGCGTACGAGGTACGATACTGTACGTTCAGACGCTGCCGGGATGTACGCATCTCCCGCCTTTCTATTAAATTGCAGTCCATATAGGTAGGCTAAGAATTTACCTTGTTTTTATTTTACTTGCCATTTTACTGTGCAATACAGTATTGTAATTAATAAATGCATACAGTACAGTACGGTACTGTAAATTGCTCTGTTTTGCTAAATTATCACCATTCTTTAAGACTCCTGCGTAGGCTAGGCCATCTTCGACTTACGATATTTTTGACTTACGATGGGGGTCGTCGTAACGCATCTCCATCGTAAGTAGAGGACTACCTGTAGTTACTACTTCAGCCCACCGGTGTGTTGGAGAGTAAATCCAGAACATTTACAGTCTTTTTTATTGTAACATCAGAACTATGTACTGTGCGGTGGGAGAGCTGCTGCCACGATCCCAGTCCGGGTCTTAGCGATGCCCATAGAGCTGCTGCTGCTGCCACGATCCCAATCCGGGTCTTAGTGATGCCCACAGCGCTGCTGTTGCCACAATCCCAATCCGGGTCTTAGCGATGCCCACAGAGCTGCTGCTGCTGCCACGATCCCAATCCGGGTCTTAGCGATGCCCACAGCGCTGCTGTTGCCACAATCCCAATCCGGGTCTTAGCGATGCCCACAGTGCTTCTGCTGCCACGATCCCAATCCAGATCTTAGCGATGCCCACAGCGCTGCTGCTGTTGCCACGATCCCAATCCGGGTCTTAGTGATGCCCACAGTGCTTCTGCTGCCACGATCCCAATCCAGATCTTAGCGATGCCCACAGCGCTGCTGCTGCTGCCACGATCCCACTCCGGGTCTTAGTGATGCCCACAGAGCTGCTGCTGTTGCCACGATCCCAATCCGGGTCTTAGCGATGCCCACAGAGCTGCTGCTGTTGCCACGATCCCAATCCGGGTCTTAGCGATGCCCACAGAGCTACTGCTGCTGCCACAATCCCAGTCCGGGTCTTAGCGATGCCCATAGAGCTGCTGTTGCCACGATCCCAATCCGGGTCTTAGTGATGCCCACAGAGCTGCTGCTGCTGCCACGATCCCAATCCGGGTCTTAGCGATGTCCACAGCGCTGCTGCTGCTGCCAAGATCCCAATCCGGGTCTTAGTGATGCCCACAGTGCTTCTGCTGCCACGATCCCAATCCAGATCTTAGCGATGCCCACAGAGCTACTGCTGCTGCCACAATCCCAGTCCGGGTCTTAGCGATGCCCATAGAGCTGCTGTTGCCACGATCCCAATCCGGGTCTTAGTGATGCCCATAGACCTGCTGCTGCTGCCACGATCCCAATCCGGGTCTTAGCGATGCCCACAGCGCTGCTGCTGCTGCCACGATCCCAATCCGGGTCTTAGCGATGCCCACAGAGCTGCTGGGCTCCCAGTCCGGGTCTTAGCGATGCCCACAGAGCTGCTGCTGCTGCCACGATCCCAATCCAGGTCTTAGTGATGCCCACAGAGCTGCTGGGCTCCCAGTCCGGGTCTTAGTGATGCCCACAGAGCTGCTGCTGCTGCCACAATCCCAGTCCGGGTCTTAGTGATGCCCACAGAGCTGCTGCTGCTGCCACGATCCCAATCCAGGTCTTAGCGATGCCCACAGAGCTGCTGGGCTCCCAGTCCGGGTCTTAGTGATGCCCACAGAGCTGCTGCTGCTGCCACAATCCCAGTCCGGGTCTTAGTGATGCCCACAGAGCTGCTGCTGCTGCCACAATCCCAATCCGGGTCTTAGTGATGCCCACAGAGCTGCTGCTGCTGCTGCCACGATCCCAGTCCGGGTCTTAGTGATGCCCACAGAGCTGCTGCTGCCAAGATCCCAATCCAGGTCTTAGTGATGCCCATAGAGCTGCTGCTGCCACGATCCCAATCCAGGTCTTAGTGATGCCCACAGAGCTGCTGCTGCTGCCACGATCCCAATCCGGGTCTTAGTGATGCCCACAGAGCTGCTGCTGCTGCCACGATCCCAATCCGGGTCTTAGCGATGCCCATAGACCTGCTGCTGTTGCCACGATCCCAATCCGGGTCTTAGTGATGCCCACAGAGCTGCTGCTGCTGCCACGATCCCAATCCAGGTCTTAGCGATGCCCACAGAGCTGCTGGGCTCCCAGTCCGGGTTTTAGCGATGCCCACAGAGCTGCTGCCGCGTTCCCAATCTGGCCTCGTGAAGTTCTCACCCGGCTAACACTGAAAACTAAAAGATAATGAATACAAATAAATTCGAAAATATATTCGTGACCACAAATCACGATAATCGAATTGTGGGTGGGTTGGGTACGGAATCAGAATATGAGAGTATTTACAGTGGGAGGAATCCGATGAGCTATAAAGCTTTTACCACAGATGTCAAATAGAGGCACGGGGTAAGAACGTTACAACAACATAGTTACACAAACAATAGGAGGGCAAAGTATAAAAAAGGTAACAAATCACCTGAACACATACAAATACAACTAAACCATCCCCATCCTACCAGACAAAGCCCACTGAGATTGGCTCAGAGATGTTAACTACCTCGCCTGGTATACAGGAGGTAGTGGGTTCGTTCCTGACCCTGATGCCTGCTGCTGTATATTTGGAGTTTGCGTGTCTCTCTCTCTCTCATCATCATCACGGTGGCTAGGAGATGTTAACTACCTCGCCTGGTATACAGGAGGTAGTGGGTTCGATCCTGACCCTGACGCCTGCTGCTGTATATTTGGAGTTTGCGTGTCTCTCGCTCTCATCATCGTCACGGTGGCTAGGAGATGTTAACTACTTTGCCTGGTATACAGGAGGTAGTGGGTTCGATCCTGACCCTGACGCCTGCTGCTGTATATTTGGAGTTTGCGTGTCTCTCGCTCTCATCATCGTCACGGTGGCTAGGAGATGTTAACTACTTCGCCTGGTATATAGGAGGTAGTGGGTTCGATCCTGACCCTGACGCCTGCTGCTGCTGTATATTTGGAGTTTGCGTGTCCATCTCCCCTGGTCCTCCGTTTTTTTTCCCCTCCACGTTTAGAATCAGCATCACGCGTTCCGAGTTACTTGGCGGCCGTAAATTTCCACACGGTGACGATGATAAGCCGCCACTTCGCGACCTTCCTGGGCTATCATTATTCGTGATAGCCCAGGAGGTCGCTTCTGAAAAAGAGGTGCCTAGCTCAGTGGGGCCTTACACCTGGTGAAATAACAAGCAGTTGAAATAGTTCCAGTTGCTCTCGTTGGGCCGAGCGAATATCACCCACCCCCCCGTCATGCGCCGTGGCGGCCTTCAGAGGCGCTGCTTCTCGCTTAACAGCGCTTGCCCCCCACAAGTCTGTTAAGGCACCACGAGGCGGGGGGGGGGGGGGGGGGACGTTTGTGTTTGTGCGCGAGCGCGTTTGACGGGCGCACACGCGCCGGTCGGCGTGCACGTGCGATGCCCCCCCCCCCCGCGACCTCCAGGTTGTGGCCGAGTTCAGTGATTTCCAAGCGATGCACGCGGTGCGGAACCAGCTGGTGGAGAAGCTGGACAGCTGTGTGGACGTGGCCTCCCCCGTGTACCACCTCACGGCCTTGGCACGCGACAACTACAGGTGACAACGCACGGAGGGCGCCACTCACACCCCCCCCCGCCCCCCCGTAGGCGCAGCTTATTGGAGCAATAAGTCTTGACGCGTGTTTGACGTGTCTTAAACTGTTTCTTTATTTCTTAGTTGCACAAAAACGAGCGATTTCCAAAGTTATATCTTCGCCCGTCCACGCACTTTATCACGTTGCCACACGGTCAAAGACTGTGGCCACTCGCTCCCACCTGGCTCTTCTCCTGGCTTCCCGTTTATACTGTCAGACCGGAAGTGACGTCATGGGTCGAACCACGGGGGGCGGGGGGTTCTAAACAGTTGGAATATTCCAAGTCAAGTATGCCCAATCTTGATTTAAAGCTTTCGTGACTGCAGTAATTCATATTCTTAGTTTTTTTGGTAAAGTGACTTTACCGAAAAAACTAAGAATATGCCCAATCTGTCAACAAATGTATGACAGATGTACATCAAATGTACACACAGAAATAATGCATTCACTATCTGTCTTATGACTCTCACACGCCCCCCTCCCCCCACCCGGTTGTAGCCTAGCGCCTCCTCGGCACTGCAATAAGTCGTGCCCGCGTCGCGTAGAAGTAACGATAATAATAAACTCAAAGTCATCCCCACCCCCTGCCTTTGCTTGGCCCTGAGCCAGGCTCGGAAGCCTCATGAAGAAGCCAGCATCGGACAGTTTGGGTTTCGGCTCTAGTCCATAAAGGTAACAAATTGTAAAGCCACCCATGTAGGCATGTATTACCGTTGAACTTCATTTGCACCGTACGGAGCCAAACCATACGTAGCCAACCGTGCTAATTGGAGGTGTGCGGGGAAGGACAGCAAACTAAACACAAAGAGCGGTTCTAAAGAAATGAGTTTTCAATCTACCCACTCACATAGTCACTCACCCACACACTCACCAATCCTCCGATTGGCACAGTTGGCCACGTATGGTGCGAAAGAAGTTCAACTTGCATACATCGACCCGCACAGTCACTCACCCACTCGCATATCATAGACTCATGGCCCACAAAGTGCCGAAGGCCTTTAGTGTACTGCCAAGTGGGCAGGTCTCTGGATCAAACTCCGTCCATCCTGTCCCATCTAACTTCCCTCCTGCTTGGAAACTTTCTCTTCACTCCCGTCTCCCGTAGACTCTCACCACCTCATTCACACGCACTCACAGCTATGTCGATGGCTCCGCTCGTGCCGGGCTAACCCCACCAATGAACCACAGCACCTCGCTGATCTCGTCAGGGGGCGTCGACCGTGATGCGAACTCCGGTCATCCTCGCAGCAGCAGCGGCGGCGGCGGCTTTTGGCTATTGAACAAAGGCGGCGGTAAACCGCATCGCGCGGCGCTTTCAGGTGCGCTTCTGCGGCCGTCTGGAACGCTCTTCCTTCCGATGTTAGGAAGCCCGCTGGAGCTGTGCACTTTTAAATCTTCATCTAGATTGGAAACTCATTACTATATAGCACACTATACACTACACACGACACTATACACTACACCATTATATACTACGTTGAAAAAACTCTCTTCTTTAGAACTGCTTTTTGTATTTAGTATGCTGTCCTTCCCCCGTACGGTGCGAAAGAAGTTCAACAGACGTGTGCGTACCAACATAACCCCTAGCGTCGCCTCTCGCGTAGCGACCACTCGGCGCGTCCCGGGGCCCTCGTGCCCTTGGTTGGCGACTTAAAATAAAACCCCGAAAAACTCTCGCACGATAAAACAAACAAAAACAAAAACAAACAACCAAAAACGCCTCTCCCAATCTCACCGCGTCTCGCACGCTCAGGCCGCACCGTCCCTCGCTCCCCTCCCCTCCCGACCCGCGCAGACGTCAGGCGTGCCTCCTGGCCGTGGCCAGCGCTCGCCGCAAGGCCCACGAGGTCTGCCGCCTCCTGGGCCTCTCCCTGGGCCGCCCCCTCTCGGTGCACGAGCTCCCCGCCGCCGACGCCGCCGCCGCCGCCGCCGCCGCCGACGACGACGAGTGGCCGCTTCCGGCCGTGTGCTCGGCCCGCCGCGACCGCGGCCTCGCCTCCGCCGATCCAAACGCGGCGGTGGCGTCGACGCCGCCGTCCCTGCGGGAGCACGTGGAGGCGGCGACGGAGGCGGTGCGGAGCGGCGTGGCGGCCGTCTTCGAGCTGCGCCCCCCCCAGCGCGCCGGCGCCGGGCGGCGCCGCGGCCGCTGAGCGCAGCCGCGGCGCCGAGGGCGCCGTCGAGCCTGCCGGGTTCCGGCGTCCGCGGTCGTCACGTGGAAGGGCTGAGCTGATGAGCGCTGGAGGTGGGGGGGGAGGGGGGGGGGGCGAGCGTTGTATGCGACGTGCGCGTGTTTGTGTGCGTTGGACTTCTTTCGCACCGTACGTAGCCAACCGTGCTCGTCGGAGGCAGCGGGGGGTGGGGGGGGAAGGGCAAGCCGAGGGCAACATTGCCGTTGCTGTGCGGATTGGCTGGGGCTTTGTGACGTCATCGGTGGGCGTGGCTCGCACGGGGGGAGGGGGGGTGGGGGTTTACAAACTTCGGGAGGCAGAGTTGTCATGGGTCTTAATTGATCAAACCACAAAGAAGTTACGTTATAATTTGTAGTCGATCGATCGACGCTCCCCCCCCCCAGACCCCCTCATTGTCCACTCGTCCCCAGCGCTGCATCGGCACGGCCCCCCGCTGTCAAGGTGCCTCAGCGGGCCCCCAGGTCAGCCCGTCAGTAAAATTCACGTCCGACGTCCGTGAGCACAGGTGAACTCCTTTTTTTTTGTAATCACCGCCCTCTTTTTTTAACCCACAACTCCTATTATTATCCGCAGGAGCTGTAGGGTCCCGGACAACTCCTGTCACCCACGGCCCAAATCTTCTACCGCCGTCCACGGCCTTTTTGCCACGGGTCGACGCGCGAGCGGCTTCCGGCTAACCCACGGGTTGCTTTTTTCAGCGTTTGACAAGGCTCACGTGGCAAATCGCTCCCGAGTTGCTCGTGGGTTTATGCGTTGCAACTACTGCGATTGGTTTTTGTCGACGGGTGAGACCAAAACGACGACGCGAGAGAAGGGCGAGCCGGCAATGCGGCGCGCCGAGCGCGTTCAACCATGTGGCGCTTGGCAGCACCGGCTTCTCATCGTGCGGAGACGTGCGGTGACGTGCGGTGACGTGCGGTGACGTGATGTGACATGCGGTGACGTGCGGTGACGTGCGGTGACGTGCGGAGACGTGCGGTGACGTGCGGAGACGTGCGGTGACGTGCGGTGACGCTCGGAGACTTGCGGTGACAAGTGGTGACGTGCGGAGACGTGCGGTGACGTGCGGTGACGTGCGGTGACGTGCGGTGACGTGTGGTGACGCTCGGAGACTTGCGGTGACAAGTGGTGACGTGATGTGACGTGCGGTGACGCTCGGAGACTTGCGGTGACGTGCGGTGACATGCGGAGACGTGCGGAGACGCACGGAGACTTGCGGTGACGTGCGGAGACGTGCGGAGACAAGTGGTGACACGCGGAGACGCGCGGAGATGCGCGGAGACTTGCGGTGACGCGTGGAGACGCTCGGAGACATGTCGTGACACGCGGAGACGTGCGGTGACAAGTGGTGACGTGATGTGATGTGCGGAGACGCTCGGAGACATAGTCTTTGGGTCTTTCGGTAAAGTCACGTAGATAGGTTTAAAGAAAATAACTATGTACGTGACTTTACCGAAAGACCCAAAGAATATGAATTCCTGCAGTCACGAAAGCTTTCAAGAAAAGCTTTTTAAGATTTTACACTCAGAGAAGCGCAGAGACGGGCGGAGACGGGCGGAGACTCGCGGGGAGAGAGACAGAGATTCAGAGGCACGTCTCTGAAGCGCGGCGGGTTTGCGCAAGGGCGATGGCAAAAAAAAGATTGGACCCACAATTATTTTGCGCGTTTTTTTTTTTGGCTTTCCTTCCCCGCTCACGGCTCACGAATAACCGGAGAAGTAAAATTTGTCAGGTGGCTCGGCAGGCGACGTGGGAATCGGCGATACCCAGGTGAGAGGAGATTGTCCTCTGCGCGAGTCTTCAACAGCAGCGTTAGCGGCATGGATCCTCCAGCGGATGTTGCGTGTCAAGCGACGTCGCCGTTCCTTGCGTGCATCCTAATAAACACGCGGCGCTGTGGTGGACCGCGAGCTCCGGAGAGAGAAACAACAACGACCGCCGTTCGCCACTAAGTGGCTGTGGACGTCACCACGGCGTTTGTGCCAGGCCACGTGCACTTCAAGACCACGTGATGTGTCGAACGCCCGCCGGCACGAGGTCACGGGGCAGACTCAGGTGCCGTGGGTTGACTGAGGCTCAGTCAGTCCTGAGAGGCGCACACGCAGACGCACACGCACGTGCTGGGAATGCCACAGCTTAACACTCGGGAGGCTTTCGCGGTCAATATCATCCATAATCTATTTTTTTTTGGGGTTCGATCGTGTAAATATATAAATGTGTCGTCAAACCCGCCGCCACCCGACACAGCCAATTAGGAAAGCTTGTCACGTAAGCAGAACGTGCCAATTCGTTACTGCTACAGCACACCGGTAGTGTGCTGTAGAGCAGATTGTTAATGTCGGCTTGCTCTCCAGTACCGGTGAGCTGTACTCGTAACGAAGTGGCCACGTTTATGCCACCTAACCCCAACAAAGCCCGTATTATAAATGCCACAACTGCAGTTCTTCGTCAACCCACTGTTTGCGTGAGCACCTCCCACGCACCACGGGGGGATCACGGGGGTGGTCGTCGGGCTTGTTCGACCATACTTCACCAGCGGCGTGTCGGCGAAGGCAAGGGTCCGCGTGGACGTTGGGGGTGGCGGTTGCGGTGCGATGACCTCTGCCGACGGGGGTACGGGCGTGCGTCTGCTGCGGCGGTCGGTGAGCGTGATCCGTCTGCGGGTACCTCCGTCGACTTGTGAAGGCCCTCGGAATCGGAGGTGGCGTTCATTTTCCCACCGAGCAGAGCCGGCAGACGGCAACCTTCCGTGGTCCGTCCGAACAGCCGAGGAAAAGGTTGGCCTTGATGGGAGTGGACGGCCGAGCGTTTTTCATTGGGGGGTTAGATCGCCTCGGCGTAAACGTGTGACGTTAAACCCGCCGCTGCCGCCGCCGCCACCCGACGCGGCCGCTCAGTGATGGTTGTGTCACGTAAACAAAACGTGCCCAGTTAGTCGCTAGTTCGGCCCACCGGTGCGTTGGAGGGTGAACCCATGGGCTGGAGCAGTAACTAATTTGGACACGTTTTGTTCACGTGACAGACCATTACCGAAAGCCCCCACCGCACGTCAACCTTTGACAAGTGCGCCGTCGTGTGTAGGGGGAGACGCGCGTGTGGGAATGCTCTCGAGTAAAATGCCCTTGTCAATTCCCTCCCGACGATTTTACCGCGACGCACCTGCAAATGGATTGCCCTGTGCTGCGTTCCGGGGAGGTCAAAGGTTGGCATACGAGGCTCGTTAACTCGCAAGCCTCGTCCTGTGACTGTGCCAGTAAGATTTGACGTCGTGCTCGGATTGCAAATGTTGTGGCTTTGCTCTTCAACGCACAACCGGTGTGCTGTACTAGTAACTAATTGGCACGTTCTGTTTACGTGACAAACTTAATAATTGGCTGTGTCGGGTGGTGTCTGGTTTAACGACGTATTTGCATATTTTCGCGATCTAACCCAAAAAAACCTGTATTATGGAAGATGTTACTGATTAAAAAAAGGACTGTTACCGTCGCCCACTTACGCCGTGAGTCGTTTAATTTTCTGGCAGAGCTCCAGCCGGGAGAGGCTTGGCAAGCCGAGGGAGGATTGCCGAACGTTCGCACGGCAAACGAGCGAACGTTCACATGGTGAACGGGTGAACGTTCACATGGTGAACGTTCCCACGGCGAGCGTTCCCACGGCGAACGGGTGAACGTTCACACGGTGAACATTCCCACGGCGAAGGTTCACATGGTGAACATTCCCACGGCGAGCGTTCCCACGGCGAACGGGTGAACGTTCACACGGTGAATGAGCAGAAATAACCCACGCGCACTTCATTGTCATTGTGCTCAGAATTTTCTTATTTTTACATTTGGGCTGACTGCATTGTACGGTCAAATTCAATCGTGGCACGCTGCCTCCTCCCCCCCCCCATCCCCGTGGGTGTTGTAATGGTTATCGTGCCGGTCGCGTGCAGCCAGAGGGCTCTCCGGTTGCATGCTACAATAACGAAAGGCGCCGTTTAATATCCCTCCCCCCCCCCGCCACCCCTCGCCGCAGCGTCTCCTCGCGCAGATGTGTGACGCAGCAGTCGCCGCGGCGATTTGCTTTCGCAGCATCATCAGCAGCATCATCATCAGCAGCAGCATCGGCATGAAAATAACGAGGTCCCTGCCTGGCCTGCCCGCGGGCCGATTGGGCGCGCAAGCAACGACGACGACGACGACGACAACGGCCTCAACGCCGATGACGCCGTGGTGCGCCGTTAGAAGGCGATGCGTACGGCGGGCGACGTTGCAGGCAAATGGCCTGCTTCGCAGCACACAGACCGACAGCGCGTAAGACCGCCTGGCTGTCGTGAAGAAAAGAGTTTGCGTCAGTCTAGATGACGGTGATGCAGCAGCAGTGCCCCGTGGCTCCCCAGTGGCTTCCTGACATCGGTGAGGAAGGGAGCGTTCCAGACGGCCGCTGAAGCGCGTAAGAAGGTGCCGCGCGACGACGCGGTGACCGCCGCCGCCTTTGTTCGGCGGCTTGGCCAGAAGCAGCCGCCGCCGCCAGGATGATAACCGTGCGACGAGCGAGAAGGGTCAATGCCCCGGGAACGTAACCCCACATTGCGCATATTTTTCCTTTTAAGGCCACGCACGCTCGCACGCACGCGCGGCGGGCGACGGCGGTGTGTTGGTATTATTATTACTGACGAGTGTGTGTTTTTGTCAGACGTGAAAATCATGGGTTGCCCGCGTCCGCGGTAACGAATATCTGTGGGAAAGCGAAAAGCGTGCGGCGGCGGCGGCGGTGCTGCTGGCGGCGGTGAAGGTGGCGGCGGCGGTGGTTGTGGTGGCGGTGGTGGTGGCGGTGGTGGTGATGGTGGTGGTGGCGGTGGTTGTGGTGGCGGTGGCGGCGGTGGCGGCGGTGGCGGTGGTGGCGGTGGCACCCCCGAGGCCAGGCCACTGCGGTCAGCACCGCACGAGCCGCCCAACCGGTGGGCAAATTCATTCCACGCGAAATGCGAAAATGGAATGTCTGGAGCCGTCGGACGTCGCAAGTGCCGAGACTGACGGCTCGCGCTCCATTAGCTACTGGTGGGGGGATTAGATCGCGTAAA